CTGACTGGCAGAAGTCATGCTGCTGACCTGGTGGCTGTGTAGTATATAAGGGGTCTGGGGGTGTGAGAGCTGTTTCCCTTCTTGGGAACTGGTGGAGCTGGCATTTGTACCCTGAGCTGACAGAACAACACATGCCTAGTAGAAGAGACGTGCTTGCGAACCTCTGCCCTGATGGGCTCACCGTGGGCCTCAAAGATGGCAGCACATGTGTCCTCTCCGCAGATGAAGTGCGCACAGGGACCTACAGGCAGCTCTTCCACCCCGAGCAGCTGATCACCGGGAAGGAAGATGCAGCCAATAATTACGCCAGAGGCCATTACACCATCGGCAAGGAGATTGTCGACCTGGTCCTGGACAGGATCCGCAAACTGGTGAGAACGCGGGGAAGGCTTCCCGGGGACGTTGTCCTGGACAGAAGGGTGGGCCTGAGGTGGAGACCAGCAGGTCATTTTGACCAAACCCAAGTCGGAATGGTGAGTCCACATCCTGACACTGCAGTGTGACCACAGTGTGTCCACAGTTGTTTAGCGTCTGAGCATGATGCACGTTCACCAAGGATGATTTGAGTCCATAGACACGTGCCAAGGAATGTTTGGGGATGGTGGTGTGGCTGCTGCAGGCGTTGACCCGGGTCTCGTTTGCTCTCAGGCGGACCTGTGCACGGGGCTGCAGGGCTTCCTCATCTTCCACAGCTTCGGGGGCGGCACCGGCTCCGGGTTTGCATCTCTGCTCATGGAGCGGCTGTCGGTGGACTATGGCAAGAAGTCCAAGCTGGAATTTGCCATTTACCCGGCCCCCCAGGTGTCCACGGCCGTGGTGGAGCCCTACAACTCCATCCTGACCACCCACACGACCCTGGAGCATTCCGACTGTGCCTTCATGGTGGACAACGAAGCCATCTATGACATATGTCGGCGCAACCTGGACATCGAACGGCCCACCTACACCAACCTCAATCGTCTCATCGGGCAGATCGTGTCCTCCATCACAGCTTCCCTGCGCTTCGATGGGGCCTTGAACGTGGACTTGACGGAATTCCAGACCAACCTGGTCCCATACCCTCGCATCCACTTTCCCCTGGCCACCTATGCCCCAGTCATCTCAGCAGAGAAGGCCTATCACGAGCAGCTGTCTGTGGCTGAGATCACCAATGCCTGCTTCGAGCCGGCCAACCAAATGGTCAAATGTGACCCTCGCCATGGCAAGTACATGGCCTGCTGCATGTTGTACAGGGGTGACGTGGTTCCCAAAGACGTCAACGCGGCCATCGCCACCATCAAGACCAAGCGCACCATCCAGTTTGTGGACTGGTGCCCAACTGGGTTTAAGGTAGGACTGGGTGACATTGGGGGGTTTTCCCTGTTGGCAAGCAGCAGACCTGCCATAGAAGGCTTCCCCTTTGTGGAGAATACCTGTTTTTCCATGTCAGCTCAGTGCAGGAGGAATAACCTTAGTAATTAATTTGCTAAGTGCCTTATTCTTCAAAGTGTTTTATGTGCCCTGTTGCTTACAACCACTTTGTAATATCCATGGGACATACTAATATTTTATGATGTGGAAACAGACTGAAAGAGCTTTCGTATATAAAAATTTCACGGGCACAATGATAGGAAAGCATTAAGGGAGGGTCTACTGTAAAGCAGTCTATCTACATTTCTCCATTGCTCATCTAAAAAGTTTGTGAGCTCTGTGGTATGTTTAGTATATTAGAAATAGTGTTTCTTAACTTAAGTCAATTGTCATTGCATTTTAGGCAGCATCTACATTCTTGTAAATAGAATTTTAAATTCATTCTGCTGTTGAGGTGGTGGTGGTGGCAAAGGATGGTGCATTGCCGTCCTCCAAACCAGACTGGGAATACTGCCTCAAATGCAAAATCACTTTGTAATTAGGTGGCTCCTTCAAGCATGTTTAGTGACAGAATGAAATGTCCACCAGAGGAAAGCCGCACATGTACTTAGACGCCAAATAATAGAATATCCAGCCTGGGCCTATTATTACCAGTGAAGTGCCCCTCTGTGTCTGGGTTTGTTAACTTTGTGCCTTATTTTTTGTTTTTGAACAAAGGTGTGACTCACCACATTAAAGGCTAGTGAGTGTCTAAGGAGTTTAAAAAAAAAAAAAAAAACAAACCCAGTTATAATTCCAGATGAAAAGAGAAGTAGCAGAAATTGTGAGTCTTTTTCCCATTTGGAATGACTCTACCTCTGACTACACAAAAATTTTTAAGCCCATCTGGCCCTTAGTCGGCCCCGTTTTAAGACATCTTGATGGATCAGATTGACAAATTTAAAGTGACTTAGAAAAGTGTAAAATGCACGACAGTTTTCACCAGATTTGTGAACATCCATTAAATCTTACATTTGTAAACATTGTAGGTTATTGGTTGGAATTGAAACCTTCATTCCCTATGTCTAGTTATCGTGCTCTTGACTTGAGCAGAGCAAATTTTCTCGGTCACAGTTGACCTCTGGAAGGTTAAGACATACAAGCAGCCTCTGGGAGGTACTGTGAGAGGTGCTGTGCCTTGTGTCCAGGTCTCCTCTTCTGAGTCTCTTGTGCTTCTGAGCCAGCAGGGAGGCCGCTCTGTTGGAGACAGTGAAATTGCCGTTTCTACTGTCCCCACAGCAGACAGTCCAGCCTGGAGGACCATGTTGAATTTTCACTTCTCCTAGTGTGACTTCCCCATCTCTTTGCTCGGGGATAGCATTGAAAGTAAAAGACTGGAAAACTAAAAGCCTCTTCCCCTTCCCCCGGGGTGTTTGTGCTTAAAGAGATACTCTGTACATATTCATGGTATATTGTGCTGCTTGTTTTATGGATGATATTGACAGAAAGAGGCCAGCAAGATGAGCAAAGGATGCACACGCCTTTCATGAAGGTGACAGACTGCAATCAGTGTGCACAGGTGGCCAAAGAGAAGAGGGAGCTGGCAGCACTCCCAATGGGAGAAGCCAGCTGGCCTGGCTTTAGAGCTGTGGGAGGGCAGGGTGAGAAACCCCTCTCCTTCTTTCTGCCCCTCCCAACTCTTCTGGGGGCTGCCTCTGTGCCTGACTCTTGCTAATAGCTATCTGCTCCAAAGGAAAGAGATGAAGAGACTCAGTGCACTCCCAGATGTTTGTCCATCTCCCTGAGGCTCTCTACTCTTTGCTACTCTACAGATGTTTTTAAATGTAAATCTTCACATAGAACTCAGCTAGCTTTTCTTTTTAAGTATACAGTATCCTTTGAACATATACTAGATAGATTTCCTGTTCTTTTGCATGATCACACATGTAGTGTTTCATTGTGTAGGTGTATAATTTAACTAGCTCCCCACGATGGATATTTGTTTCCACTTTTGCCATTTCAGTGTTTTAACCTAAATACATAAATATCTTTATACATGTAGCTTTGTGCTCTTAATTGGGTAAATTCCAAAAGTGAAAACAGAGGTCAAAGGATATTAAACGTTAATAGGTACTACCAAAAAATAAATACTAGTTTCTAAGGGCATCATTTAATCTTGGTCCACAGCTTGTTTTTAAAAATAAGCCACCACGTCTGAGGCCAGAACGTAAACTTCAGTCTTACGTTCTTTTCTCCGGCAGGTGGGCATCAACTACCAGCCCCCCACCGTTGTCCCTGGGGGAGACCTGGCCAAGGTGCAGCGGGCTGTGTGCATGCTGAGCAACACCACTGCCATCGCTGAGGCCTGGGCCCGCCTGGACCACAAGTTTGATCTCATGTATGCCAAGCGAGCCTTTGTGCACTGGTACGTGGGAGAAGGCATGGAGGAAGGGGAGTTTTCCGAGGCCCGGGAGGACCTGGCAGCTCTGGAGAAAGATTATGAAGAGGTGGGCGTCGATTCCGTGGAAGCAGAGGCCGAAGAAGGGGAAGAATACTGAAGGGAAGAATGTGTCTGGCAGCCATCCCTTTGCATCCTCCCCACTGTAACAAGATGTGTACCTATTAAAGTTTCTGTGTTAAGGCCATCTTCTGTCACCTATGCTTCACTTTGACAAAATTTCCCATCCAGATACCTGCCTCTTCCAAGTGAATTTCCAGGGAAAAGATACTTCTCAGAAATAATTGTTTAGTTACTGCACTACTCCCCCAAAAAACTTGTTTTATTTTCAATTTAAACATTCTTAAATCTTTCTCCGCTTGCTTGATGTTCATTCGAGAACTGTAACCTGGTTGGCTTTTTTCTGTATGGTGGAAATGCTGTTTTCACCACTTGTGGGAGGGGTCAGAGAGGCAGCACTCCCCTCTCTCCCCTAAGTCACTCCTTACCCCTACACAAACCCAAGTCCTAATGCGCCTTTTTCAGAGGTCTTTAAAAAGAAAAGATTTATTTATGCATACAAGAGCTGGGGTGCAGGCCAGTGATGTGGCGGGGAGGCGGCATTGTGTGTGAGAGGGTTCACCAGAGTGGGGACAGAACAGGCAGATGAACTGAAATACACTGCTGAGGGGAGCAGAGGGCGAGTCAGGAGAGGTCTGCTGGGCCATGTGGGGAGCTTCCTGCCCGGGGATGGAATTCGTGCTGCACTGGCTTGGATAGCTTCATGGTGTTGTGTCTTAACCCCTTGCGGCACCAGGGAGTTCCCGGGTCTTAACTTTACCCTGTGCCACCCAGAGGTAAGGAAACTCCTGCTAAACACGTTTTTCCAAAATAGTGGCCGCGGTCCACCCATCTCTTCAAAGGCACCTCCTCTCGTATAAGCTGCGAGCACTGGGTTTTGGCAGGATCGTTGGGACGCGCGCCGGCACCCTTTTGTGTAAGTTAATTGCTGCGGGTGGCAAGCGTGGGTCCCGCGGGCTTCGGGGCCGTTCAGCCGTACGCCGGGACACAGCGCCACCGAGCGCGGCCGCCACTTCCGCGGCCCCGGGACATAGAGGGGCTCCCGTGAGGGGCGGCACCGGCCGTTCTGGGCGCCTGAGACCCCCAGCTCCCGCCGCCTCGAAGGCCCGCCCCGCCTCCGGCCTGGAGCCACGCTCTTCCGCGTTTCTATGGTATCGACTTCCGCCGCGAGCCACTCCTCGCGAGACTTCGGCGACGCAGCAATGGCGAGACGTGAGTACTGCTCAGTGGAGGCAGGAGGACGGCCTGGGACGCGGCTCGGGCGAGAGCGGGTTGGAGGAGATCCCGCAGGCCAGGGCCGCCAGGCGCGGAGCCGCGGCAGGGGGCCTCGAGGCCCTTGGGGCTCCGACGGCCGCCCGCGACCAAGCTCCCTCCTCTTCCCCAGATGCCGCGTCACTGCTCCGCCGCCGGCTGCTGCACACGGGACACGCGCGAGACACGCAACCGCGGCATCTCCTTCCACAGGTCAGCGCGCGTGCGTGCTGGGCGCGAAGGTTCACTCGCGCATGCTCCGGTTTGGCCTGCGCCTTCCCCTGGTTGGGGCAAGCCTTGAACGAGGGTGGTTGAAGGGGGCGGGCCAGGTGGGGCTGTGCCTAGAGAGAAAGGGGAGCCGCGGAGACCCACTGCTCTCAGACTCTTACCTGCTAAACGACGGGGCGCAAATTCCTTTCCTCCTTGAGACCTGTTTCCTCATCTGGGCCAGGGTGGGTGGTCAGAGGTCTGGTGGTGGCATGTACGGAACCATTTCTTCCCATTAGGGGAGTTTGGGCAACATGAGCCCAAAACTGCAGGCAGCCTGGTGCTCAGGTTTGTGGCTTTGCAGACTTCCCAAGAAAGACAACCCAAGGCGAGGCTTGTGGCTGGCCAATTGCCAGAGGCTGGACCCCAGCGGCCAGGGCCTGTGGGACCCAGCATCTGAGTACATCTACTTCTGCTCCAAACACTTCGAAGACAACTGCTTTGAACTAGTGGGCATCAGGTGAGCCTCCTCTCCAGGCAGGATTGGGACAGCGGCCTTTCAGGGACAGAAATCCATGGAGCATATGGCTCCAGACAGTCTGCCAGCAGACCTGGTTCTAAGAGTCACTGCATCTTCCCAGCCCCACACCTTAACTTCCTCATCTAACAAGCCCACCTCTCCAGGATGACTGCTCCATTCTCAGAGAAAAACACTCACTTTTCCAGAGGATGGTCTGTAGAACACCAGTCCTCCCAGCAAGTCCACAAGATAATTCTGGTCCAAAAAATCTGGTTAGCCCAGTTACGCTAGGGGAGCCTTTCTACCCACCTTAACTTTGAGGAGAATTGATTGGTGTAACTTTCCCTTATTTGGTATTCTCCACACTAATTCTCTGCAATATGCTCTCCCATCTCCCAAAGTGCTAGTACTGGGGAGCCCACCTTGGGGTTGCAGGAAGCATGATGTCTCTGTGCAGGTCAGCCTGGGCTGTCAGCACTTGCTCTCCACCTCATCCAGGCTGCTTTCCCTCACAGCGGGTATCACAGACTGAAGGAAGGGGCAGTTCCCACGATATTTGAGTCTTTCTCCAAGTTGCACCGGACAGCCAAGACTAAGGGGCACAGTTACCCAGCTGGCCCCCCCAATATCAGTCGGCTCCAGCGAGGCAGGAAGCGGTATGTGCTGTGACTGGGGGGACAGGGGGTGCTCCGCTCTTACTCTTAAATCTTTGGAACTGGACTTTTGGGTGTCTGCCAGCAGCCTTGCTGGCTAGGGTTCTATTCTGTGGAGATTTAGGTGGGCTGAAGTAGAGCTTGGCAAACCCTTGACCTGGCCTGTCAGTCTCTCTCTCTCTCCCTCCTCAGCTGCTCTGAGGGCCGAGGGCCCATGACTCCATTTTCTCCACCTCCCCCTGCTGATGTCACCTGCTTTCCTGTGGAAGAGGCCTCGGCACCTGCAGCTTTGCCTGCCTCCCCTGCTGGGAGACTGGAACCTGGCCTCGGCAGCCCCTTCTCAGACCTCCTCGGGCCCCTGGGTGCCCAGGCCGATGAAGCAGGCTGCAGCGCCCAGCCCTTGCCAGAGCGGGAACCAGAGAGGCAACCAGTTCCTCTTGAGCCTCGGCCTGTCTCACCCTCGGCTTACATGCTGCGCCTTCCACCACCCGCCGGAGCCTACATCCAAAATGAGCACAGCTACCAGGTGGGCAGTGCCCTTCTCTGGAAGCGGCGGGCTGAGGCTGCACTTGACGCCCTGGACAAGGCCCAGCGCCAGCTGCAGGCCTGCAAGCGGCGAGAACAGCGGCTAAGGCTGCGGCTGACCAAGCTCCAGCAGGAGCGGGCTCGGGAGAAGAGGGCACAGGCAGATGCCCGCCAGACTCTGAAGGAGCATGTACAGGACTTTGCCATGCAGCTGAGCAGCAGCATGACCTAAGTGAGGGGCTGCCTATCAGAACTCTGGCTTCCTCTACCCTCAGAATCCATCTGAAGAGGGACCTGATCTAAGATGCATCCATCACCAGATCCACCAGATGCCATAATAAAGTGGATTCTGCAAGGAGGTCCTGATATCTGACTTAGCTGGGGTTTGGGGCCCCTTCCCTGGGTACCAGGCTTATTCCCTCAGAAAGCTATAGCCCCTGAGGAATCAGACCCTGAGTCATCTTGGCTGTGGAGAGCAGAAGGCCCAGCACTCCCCATGCACCAATCAGGCTTATGAGGAGACAGGATGGTATGAGTAGGCACCCTTTTCTTGGCACCTGAAATAGCCCTGACTTCAACATATTGGTTCCTTTGAGAAAACTCATGAAACCTGAGCCAGACTCTCTTTTTCAGTGACCAACAGGCTTCCATCCACAGGCCCAACAAATGACATTTCTAGTTCACAGAGGTCTGGGAATATTGCGGGGGAGGTAGGTAATGGGGCAATCAAAGCCTCACTTCAATCTGTCATTTTCCTTCAACTCCACTGGAATCTGGAAGGCCTCACTGCATCTGCCACATGCGGCAAACTCATTGTGAGGGTTTTAACTATATAGGTGACCTCTCTGCTGGACTTGTTCACAACAGCCCCAAGAGCACAAATTCCTGTCAGTCATGGAAACTGCCACACATCTTGATGTTTGTTTTGGGGGCCTGTGTATGTAACTTTATTTATGTCACATCTGAAAGATCTAAGTTGCAAGGGTCAGCTATGAGACAGGACTTGTAGATGTCTGACCTTGCACCGGGCCATTTCCTAGCTTTCTGGTAGCCTCATGACAGCCACATTGGAGTGGGCTCACTGTGCCCATGCAACTGCACCTGCCATTTCATGCCCTTGTTCAAGAACCCTGGGTGCTGTGTGCCAAGTAAACCAGGTATCCTGGGGGCAGGTGGGCACTCTTAGACAAAGGGGAGCTGTCATGAGGCTACCAGAAAGCTAGGAAATGGCCCGGTGCAAGGTCAGACATCTACAAGTCCTGTCTCATAGCTGACGGTGTACAGTGACAAACTATGGATCTTTGCTGGCTATGATGGCAATGCCAGGTAGGTGGTGGCCTGGCCCATGTACCCAGCCTCTGAGCAGGCCTTCCTGGCCTGCTGGGAGGGTTCAGGTGGGGAGGGCTCAGATGGGGGTTTCTAAGGAGGTGGGTATATAGACAAGGAGTGGGGGGAAGAGGAAGATGTACAGGATGGGGGTGAATAGAGTTACCACTTGCCTCCCACAGTGGGAGTCTGAATGAGTGGCAAGTGTGGTCCATGTCACTCAGCTGTCTGAGTGTACAGGTCTCCGGGGCATAGGGGCCATAGCCGAGTGTCATTAGAGTGGAGGGAGAGTGGACGTAGCCTCTGGAATTGCTTGGGTAAAAAGATTCAGGCCCATAGTAAGGAGTGACTCTGAGGGTCAAGTGGGCAAGTGGGTAGCAGCAGCAGGGCTCCCCTTTGTCTGAGTGCCCACCTGCCCCCAGGATACCTGGTTTACTTGGCACACAGCACCCAGGGTTCTTGAACAAGGGCATGAAATGGCAGGTGCAGTCGCATGGGCACAGCAACAATCTCTAAGGCTAAAAGGCCACTTCCCCCAAAGTGGCTTCCTGGCTGTTAGGGCAGAAAGGTCCCTGGGGTTCTTGTTACCAGAAAAGGCAGAACAATGCCTTCCACATTGGAGTGGGCTCACTGAACAGGGCTTGCTTTCTTTTCTTTTTTTTTAATTTTTTTTTTTTAATAGAGGCATGTTCCATTTATTTATTTGTCTGCTTGTTTGTTTGTTTTGTTTATACATGCACTGGGTACAGTCAGAAGCGCGGGAGGGTGAGAGAATTCACCAGAGCCAGAGCGGGGAGCAGAGCAGGCAGAAGGACCGAAGTACACTGCTGAGGGGAGCAGCGGGTGGCAGGAGAGGTCTGCGCGCCATGTGGGACCCTCCTCCGGTGGCCAGGGAGCAGCCAGGGATCGAACCGGCGCCGCAGAGGCCGCGGGCAGCCTCGCAACCCAGAGCTCAACCGCTGTGCCACCGGGGAGGCCCAGGGCTTGCTTTCTGTTGGGAAAGGATGCAATGTTCTGGACTCAGCTTCCCAGCCTAAGCCAGAGTCTGGAGTACAGCACACAGCAAGGCAGCAGAAGATGGGGCCAGGAGAGCAGGCCCAAATTTACAGGGTTTACCTGATAGGGGAGTCCCCCACGCCCCCACCCATCAGACTGAGCACCCAGGTCAGGATGGAGCATTCCTGACCATATGGATAGAGAACCAGGAAAGGCTGGCTCCCTGGTCCCAACCCACTGGGTGGTCTGGCCTGTCCTTGGCTCCACGAAGTCCAAAGGGCTGAAGGCCAGAGCCCCACTGGGGACTACATTGGCCAGGTGGTGCTGCTGTGGCTTTAATGGAGGCATTCTGTGACAGAATACTTAGGAACAGATGGGAGGGCAGGGAAGAGTTGGGTGGCGGCATCTCCACTGACTTCACCATAGCCTACCTGGACCTGATGGGTCCACATGGATGGGTGGGACCCCCCCAGTCCCTTTGGAAACTAGGCCTAACCCAGAGTGGATGACTCCAGGGCCTTTCAAATTTCATCTCGAGTCAGACTCCATTTGCCTATACTATTGCCCATGTACAAATTCTCATAGGCAGGAGAGGCCTTTATACCAACCTGGACAAAGGGTGTTAGCATGTGGCCTCCACTTAGGTCGGCCCTTGGACAGGACCCAACAGCCAAATCTACAAGCCCATGCCAGGTCTCTGCTTGGTAAGGGCCCAGAATCAACTCCTTGGCTTGTTTCTTCCACTGTCCCCATCACTGAGTCCTGGCTTCCTACCCATACCCCCTTACCAGGTTAGGGAGGAGCCGGGGAGGGGGAAAGGAGGGCCTTTTTTCATCATCTGCTCTTTGTGAGACCTGTCCTCAGCTGTGGAGTGGGACCTTTGCAGCCCCCCACAACCCTCTGCTCCCTTCAGAGGCTCTGGGGACCCTGTTCTGCCACAAGCCTGAACCTGACCATCAGAGTCTTTGCAGTTGCCAGGGCAGGGGAAGGCGTGGTTTTTGTCCACATGTGAGCCGGCACCACATGGGCCCTCAAATGTCAGCACCCAGCTCTGCACACTGCTTGTCAGAGATGTGGGAGGCCAGGGAATCTATGATATCGAGTAGTAGCTGCTGGCTCAGCAAACGTAACGTGGGCAGCTTGGAGACCTGCAGGAGACAACCAAAAGGCCAAAACATGGAACCAGATCCAGAGTGGGTTGTGGAGTCTTCTGGGGACCCAACCCTCTCTGGGCTTGGGCTGGCTCCAAGGACAGAGTGAAGGGTGGCCAGTGGTGGGCAATCTGCTTGGTTATCCCAAGAGCCCCGTGCCACAAAATAAGGCCAGATTTCATGCACCCCACCACCACCTGACCAAGGTCACCACCGAGGGGGATTGGGTCCTAAAGCAAGGGGGGGCCAAGCATCAGCTGGGAGAGCCCTGACCTTGGTGAACTGGTGCACAATGATGTGCAGGCAGTGCCGCTTCATGTCCAGAGCCTGCGTCTTGTCAGCTGCCTCCAGGATCTGGAATGGAAAACTCCTGAGACACTGCCCCTCCTCTCATCTACACACCCAGATGTCAAGAGGCCAATGGGTGCCAGATGAGCTACCTGCAACACGTTCTGCACCGTCACATTCATCTCCAGGTTCTGCTTGCAGTACGCCTGCAGCCGGTTGTTGTAGAAACCGTAGTAGTAGGGAGCCGAGAACAGGTAGCTAGGGTCTGGTTAAGGAGCTGCCATCCAAAGGAGCCTGTCCTCCCACCCACCTGTCCTCCCCCAGCCTCCTTCACCCCTCCCCCTGGGAGCTGACTGCTGGAGCCCCTGCCCCCCAGGGGTAGAGAAGATGACAGAGACTGGCTGCCGCCTCCTGTTAGCACAAAACCAGGGGACCCCAACCACGGGGACTGGCACGGGACTCTAATCCAGGCAGGTCACTGACTTACTCTGAATGGGCTCAGAACCATTTAAGGGGGTAAAAGCCCCATTCAAAATCCAAAGAGGCCCACTGAACCCTCTCCCAGGAACATGCCCAAATGTACACGCAGAACTGTTCCTCAGCCGCACAGCCTCTGAAGGGCATCCTCCACACCGTGCTCACACCCCGACTCAGGGCATGTCATGAGGAGCCACTCCACATCTGTCTGCTCACCTACTGGACAGACACAACCCCTCTCTCCAGTCATGAGGGTCAAGGACCCTCTCCTATCTGCACACCCCTCCATGCTGGTGATCAGCTGCTTCAGAGAACCCTGAGAGCACTGGGTGCCAGGAAATTATCCAGCTGGAAGGGAGCAACTGGGTCCCAAAACACCCAAAGAGGGCGCTAGGACTCCTAGTGGTGACCCAGGAGGACCCTCAAACGTGAGGATGCAGCGAGTCCTCGGGCGGCATGTTGACCTCACCGTAGTAGATATAGCGCAGCATGGATTCGAAGGCCTGCCTGCTGGGCACCATCTCCCCAATGGAGATGTTCACCTGCCCATCCTCAGGCATGAAGGACCGGAACATGGCTTCAAAGTAGCTGCAAGTGGGATGGCGGATGCCCAGCTCTCAGGGGACACAGCCAGCACCCAGGACCTACCCTGCCCTGTAGTCACACCTCTCACCCACCTAGAACGGGCAGCTAGAATGGCTTTGTGTGCTGGACGAGGGTGCCCATCCAGCAGCAGTGTGATATCACAGAACTCGGCGCCTGCCCCCTCCAGGTATGCCTTCATGTCCTGGATCAGGGATGTGCCTGGGGAGGGTGAAAGGAGGGGGACCCTGAACAGGTACCTCCCGCTCCCAGGCAGACCCTGGGCCAGAGGACAGCCTCTGACTGACCTCGGGCCCTGCCTCTGTACATCTACCCACGCTGCTATCCCCAGTATAGTCCCAGAGGCATCACCAGACCCTGTACTCTTCTCTCCCTTCCGAACATGCCCCCCAGTATCTGGCAGTCTCCAAAATTTAGCCACTGACACACCCTGTCTACCCACACATGTCGCCCAGAGCCAGCATCCAGGGCTGGCACAGGCCCCTGGAGGCCTAGGGTCTGCAGTCTGTTCTTATCCTCCCCAAAGCCAGCAGCAGATGTACTTGGCGACTAATCACTGGGTCGCTGAGTACATCACTCACTTCAGAAGCCCTCAGACCTGCCATCCGAGTCAGGGAAAGCAACCTCGCCAGAGAAGTGCCCTGTGTCCAGGGCATGAGTGTGTGTGTATGTGGGGGAGGGGGTGCCTCTTCAACTGAACCACTGCCCTGCCTGTCCCTGCGCTCAGGGGAACACTCTTTGTGTCTCCCTGAAACCCCACCCAGACCTGGCAGGTTCTTCCTTGGCCCTCAGATCTCTGCCCCAGATGAACACCACCCAGGCTGACTCAGGGAAGGGAAACAGGCTTCCTACCAATGTCCACAGGTTGGTCTGAAGGGGTGCGGGGAGGCGGCTGCTGCTTCCGCCGCACAATCTCCACAATCAGCGGTGATGAGAGGCGCTCAAACTCCTTCATCATGATCACCTGGTTGAAGTGGGACTCCTTCACCACGAAGTTCAGGCAGTGCTCCTGGGACAGGCAGGAGGGGTGGGCAGGCAGGGTCAGGCCTCAAACCCATGGGCCACAGAGGAGGCAGGGGCTTTCATGCAAACCCCACACGCACCTTGAGCTGGCCCAGCTGCAGCCTGGCGGCACTCTCACACACTACCAGCACGTTCTGCAGGTCCACAGAGGCCTCAATGTACTGCCGACACAGCTGCTCCAAGCGGCACAGCTGGAAGCTCAGGGCCAGCTTGTACACATCCATGATGAGCAGCACGTCCTCCACATGGCCTGCACGTAAGAGGTCCCTGAGCCTCAGCCACCTCAGGGGAGCAGAATGAGGGTGGGAGGGCCCAGGGCTCCCTCTGTGGCCAAGTACGCACCCAGTTGACAGGCAGGAGCAAGGCTCGGGGTGCCCAGGCAGCGACTCAGCCACACACAGGTGGCGGTGTCCTCTGACTCTCAGGCTGCCCACTGGCAAGGCAAGGCAGCCCACACCCCAGCCCGGGCCCACACTGACCCCACTCCAGGCAAACCTTTCCTCGGGTATTTGATCTTGTCGGTGTAGAGAAACTGCATGAGCACCTCAAAGGGCCGGGCTTCGGCCTCAGGGATGGCCACACGCAGCAGGGGCAGCTGGGTCCCACTCACAGCTGCACCAGAGGACTCCCTGGGAGCCAGCCCCGCCTCTTCCTCTGGCTTCTGTAGGGAGAGGCAGAGCTCAAGGGCACTGTGATGGATGCAGCTGCCTGGGCAGGGTGAGACAGGCACCTCACCTGGGTCAGCCGCTCCCGCACCTGCACGATCTTCCTGCGGAGCCAGCGGCTTCGGGCTGTGACAATGGCCATGTGGCCCTGCACACACTCCTCCTTCTGCAGCAACAGAATGACACTTTGATGGAGGGCATGGGGCCTTTGCCCAGGAGACAGGCCCAGTCTGCCGGGTAGGGGCAAAATCCCTACTCCACAGCTTAGCCGGTAGGCAGGGTGTAGGAAGGGCACCCACCTCACCCAGCACGAACTCCACATCACAGAACTGGCGGCTCTCCCACAGCCGTCCATAATCTTCATGCAGTGTGCACTTGGGGTAACAGGAAAACTGCAGAAGGAGACCCCAGTGTTGCCAACGGAAGCCTTAGAGCCCTTGGGCCACGCCCAGCTCCCTCAATTGACCCTGCTGTGAGCCCCAACCCTCTCCCCCTGCTCCCCACCAAGCCACCTGCCTCACCTGCCCTGCCCTGAAATGAAGTTTCACAGGCATCTCTCAGTCTAGAATCCTCCATCCCACCTGCCAGGCTTCTCAGAAAAGCTGGTATCCCAGTAGGCTTGCCCTGGCTCTGGGTACCCTTGGATGAGCCTGCCCCCACCCCTTGGGCCTTGGGCCTCAGTTTCCCATCATCGGGGGCCCATCCACCATGGCTGGCCCCACTGTGGAGTCAGTCCAGGAAGTAGCCAATGGCCTGCTCTGTGTGTCCATGAGTCCCACCTGGAACCTGTACATCTCCCCACTGCGGATATTGTTGTCCACGGTGCCCCCAAAGATGTACATGGCATCTGAGATCACAGCAGCTGCGTGGAAGAGCCTCCCACTGGGTAGCTGCGTGGAGAGGGGGACAATTCAGCAAGATGTGACAGTCTCCAACAGCAGAGCTGAATGAGGCCCACCTAGCCTGGTTGTGGGCAAGGACATGGACCTTGGGTCTTGAAGGAGGGGCCAGAGAGCAGGCCCCCAGGCACAGCTGCAGGCACAGGGCGGGAAACAGGGTCTCTATGGGCAAGTGGGCAGGACCAGTCCCGTGGAACCACAAAGTGGACAGAGTAAGCACTTGGTCTCAAATGCTGCACCAGCTGGCAGCTAGCCCTTGCCTCACTTGCTGTGAGGCCGCAACAAGTACTTCTCTGAGCTTCAGTCTTCCCACCTGCGAAAAGGGTCACCATAGGACCAGCTTCAGGGGGGGAAGGAACAGTAACAAGGGTGCTGGCCCTCACCTCTGAGGCAGGTGGAGCAGGCTGCTTGGCTGTAGTGGTGCCAAAGTCCAGGCCAAACACATCTCGGGATTTCTTGAAGCCAGCCCGCTCCTCAGAGGCCAGGGAAGGGGCCTCCTCAGAAGCAGAAGCTCGCTCTGGCACCTCAGCCCCGCCAACCTGTGAGCAGGGACATGCAGGCATGGGAGTCATCAACGAGGGCCAGAGGACACATCCCATCCATGCCCAAGAGCACTGCTGGGCGGGTTTGGAAGGGGGCAGTCACAAGACATAGGTGCTGGGAGCATGTGGGCTGAGAGGTTGCTGGGTGCTAGGCAGAAATCAAGGTGGGCTTCCCAGGAGAATGTCCTCAGCACAGCGCTGAGGAAATGAAGTATTAAAATGAAGCAGTAAAATCCCATGGGCTGCAAGATGGAGAATGAGCCAGAGGAGTCCCAACATCAGGCCAGCCAGGGCTAACGACCGTGGGCTTCCTGGCCTTCCTGGCCTTTCTTGCTGACCACTAAAGAGCCTTTTGAGGCTGTGAAGAGCTAGCTGGGGGGAAGAAAGAGCAAGCAGGAGTTGCTGGTGTCCACCTGTGGTTCAGGATCCTGCTGGCCCTGGGCCCTGGTCACCCCAGATGGGTGTAGGGAAGTCCTGGTGGCCCCTAGCTGTGAAGGGTCCATGGGGTGGGGCTGGCCCACCCACAGCCTGGAAGTGCTCACCTCGCTATCAGAACTGGGCTGGACAACCTCCCAGGTCTGGAAATCCACATCATAGCAATGTAGCTCGTTGGGCAGCGTGTTGTCAGCCGCACCCCCAAACACATAAAGGTGGCGGTCAAAGGCCACCATGGTGTGTCCGTAGCGGCGCTGGGGAGGTGGTGGGGAGCCGCGGAGTAGATGCTCAGTGGGGATGCGTGTCCATCTGGAGACAAATGACAGTGAACCAGTGTTAGGTTGGGGCTCCTGGCCTCTGATGCTCCCTCTACTGGGAAGAGCCTAATGTCCCTGGGGAAACCAGCCCAGACAGAGGGAGTCTTCAGCCTGTGTGCCCAGAATCCCTCTCCCCACTTAACTCTGGCACCAGTTCTGTCTGGCTCCACATTGCCTACCGTGGGTCCTGCGTGAGCCCCCTCCCATCCCTCCAGCAGGTAGTAGTGGCAGGGCTGGAGGGGTGGCAATCTGGGGAATCTTAGATTTATTCACCCCACCAGGTAGGACAATTCCCCAGGGAAGCCACCCATACCCCTTTTCCTAATGCTGCTCCTGTAACACTCCAGGCTCTCTAACCACTCCCCAGCACCTCCAGCAAATGCCTTCTTTTCCGAATCAGGTAGGAACCTGACTGGACAGGGTCCCACCCTCTGATTCAGTGTAGACACTGGTGCCCCCATATGCTAGGCTCAGCATGTGCCTCAGTGGCACTGCCAGGGGGGCATTAGTACATAGGCGATCTGCCTGAGCAGCCCATCTCCAGGTGCTGGGGCTGTGGAATGCCTATCTGGGGATGGGGGTGCTCTGGAAGATACCTAGCACTAAACACCCACACCAGCAGCCTTCTGTGTGCCCCTATGGGAGATGGTGCCTGTGTGATGCCCACACTACAGGGTCAGCCCACCTACACACAACCTAAAGAAGGCCAGGGCATATCTGCTCCCCACCTCTGTGTGTGTGGGAGCAAAAGGTAGGGGTACAAAAACAGGCTGCCTAGTGGACTGAGAAAGCAAGTTGCCCCTTGCCAGAGGTGACACATGCCAACCCCACTCCATTGGGTCCCTTTACTGTTAGGGGCCACCAGAACCCCCGATACTCCTCCAGGGCAACTCCTGGTAACTGTGTCTCCCTGGTTTTCTTCCTTCTGTATTCACTCCACTTCCATCCACTCCACCCCTAGCTGCAACTCTGCATCCAGCTCTGGCCTGGGCCCCTCAACTTTCTTGTAAGCCCAAGACAGCTTCCTTGGCCTGCTCCACAGGTGACCCCTGACTCTTAGGCAGCCCTCTGGCCCCAGGTTATCACCCAATACCAGCACCTCCCTAAGAAATCCCTCACAGATCAATCACCTGTTACCTGGCCAGAGCTTGTGTCTGTCCCCTCCCAGAGGCCTGTCTGGGCACACCCAGCCTCTGCTTCCAAACTTTTCCATCCACTTCTCTAGAGGTCTGCCTGTCTACTCTGAGTCCTCTGTCCTGTCCACTGCCCTGAAGACTGAGACGAGGATGAAGCAGCTGGCCTATGTATAGTATGGCTCATCTCTCAGGCCTGGTTGCCCTGGACAGGACAGCTGGCTGGGTGTCAGTGGTTACCTCTGCCTGGGATGCCCTGCCTGCCCGTCCCCCTCCCCAGCCAACCCCCTGGCCTCTAGGACAGCTTTAAGTCTCCTCCCAACCCGCCCTGGCCTACAGTCAAAACTCCTGTTCCCTCTCCTCCACTTGCTGCCTGAGCTAAAGTCTAGCCCATGCCACCTTCAGGGCTCAGTCTCCATCATGGGGTTGGAAGGCAGCAGCCAGGTAAAGCAGAGAGGAAGCTCTCAAGCCCACACACCTCCCAGGTCTGCCATCAGGGGAGATCTATGCTGGGCACATCTGTTATCATGAATCTGTTATAGGACAGGGAGAGGGGCAGACTAACGAAGCCATTCATGGGGCAGGGGGCAACCTATGGCACTCAAAGAGGAGTACTGCCTAGGCCTTATCTTGCTGAACTGCAGCCACACTCTAGCACGCCTGTCGAGGAGTCTCTGACCCACTCTGTACGAAGGGCAGCTTGTCCTGCCACATGCAGGAATGGGAAAGCACAGTATCAGAAGCAGGCACTGGGTGCTGACCAAGGAGCCCAATACAAGCGTACTCACGTCTGGTCCTTGAATTCAAACTGGAAGAGGTTGTTGGTTATCTTGGCTCCACTCTGCCCTGAGAACACAAACATCTTGTCCCGGCACACAGCCACGGGGAAGTTGCAGCAGGAGGGTGGGATCTCGCCACTCTGGGCCACCTGGGGTGGGGGAGGCAGCTCAGCACAGGGTCTGCCCAACCCCGCTCACAAGTCCGCACACTTACACTGCTGAGTTGAAACTATTTTTATTCATGAAACGTCTGTGGATGAGGGTTCATAGATTAATTTCTGCAGAACAGTTTAAAGTCCCAACTCACTCATCTAAATGGGCCCAGTTTTAACAGTTAACAACTCAGGCCGGTTGCCTTGGGACAGGACAGTTGGCTGGATGTCAGTGGTCACCTCTGCCTGGGATGCCCTGCCTGCTCTTTCCTCACCCCAGCCAACCCCCTGGCCTCTAGGACAGCTTCGAGTCTCCTCCCAGGGTAAGGGTTAAAATCATGATGACAGAGAAGAGGAACCCCAAAGGGAAAGACATGAAGCAATCTGAAAGACTACCCAGAAACAGCAGTGGGCAGGTCACTGGGCAGCACTCCTTATATTCAAATAAGGGTGCATTATACCCCAGCTGCTTTAGTAAGCCATGATGTTCTGCCCATCCAAAGCACAGAGCCTTTATCACTGGGTAACTGCCAGTGGAACTTGTAGTGATGGCTGGGCAGGTCAGGGGAGAGCCAGGCCGAGGCTTGGCTTTGGCATGCCCCACCCTGGCCCCCTGCCCCACCCCTCACCTCCTCCCAGCATGTGAGCTCCCGGTCCTGGAGGCCAATGGTCCACATGTCGTTCAATCTGTAGTAGGACAGAGAAGTCAGGATCCCCACAGCAGGGTCTGGTCATCAGGATGGGCCTGGGCCTGGCCAGAAGGGATGGCTCCAAGGAAGAACAATTCAAACCATCACGTGGGACTCTGACCGGGGGACTAGGGTGCAGCCATGTGATGGGAGCTTCATTTAGGGGAGAGTGGAGGCTGCACCAAGTTAACTGTTATGCCAGTTTCCCTGCTCAGCCCAGACAGGAACAAAAGGCCTCATGCACAACATCTAGGGCAGGGCCAACCACTCACCCAGCCAAACCTCCAGGTCTGGGAGAGGACTGTGGAGAGACACCACTTAAAGAAACCTTCACTAACAGCACAACATTAGCATTCTCTATTGAACTGAAGTTTTGGGGAATGCATACATGCTACATGTGTAATTAAAAAAATACAGCAAAGTCAAATTTCTCAGAGAAGAAGAAATACCTATTATACTGGCAAGAACCCTATGTTGCCCTCTATAGCGGAGGGGCTGGGTCTGAGCCCTGCTGCTGCTACCCACTTGCCCACTTGACCCTCAGAGTCACTCCTTACTATGGGCCTGAATCTTTTTACCCAAGCAATTCCAGAGGCTACGTCCACTCTCCCTCCACTCTAATGACACTCGGCTATGGCCCCTATGCCCCGGAGACCTGTACACTCAGACAGCTGAGTGAACATGGACCACACTTGCCACTCATTCAGACTCCCACTGTGGGAGGCAAGTGGTAACTCTATTCACCCCCATCCTGTACATCTTCCTCTTCCCCCCACTCCTTGTCTATATACCCACCTCCTTAGAAACCCCCATCTGAGCCCTCCCCACCTGAACCCTCCCATCAGGCCAGGAAGGCCTGCTCAGAGGCTGGGTACATGGGCCAGGCCACCACCTACCTGGCATTGCCATCATAGCCAGCAAAGATCCATAGTTTGTCACTGTACACCGTGGCGCCATGGGCTGACCTGGCAACTGGCAACCTGAAGTGTGAGGACTGGGTAAGCAGAGAGGTCACCCAGGGCAGACCGAAGCCTCACAGCCCCACAAGGTTTGGAGAAGGACCACAGCCCTGAGAGTCCCACTGGGACTGCCATGCCCACATCTGCTGACACTGGGGCTCTTGGGACTCCCTCCAGAGACAAGGAATAAGTGACAGCTGAGCTTATGAGGCCCTCGGCAGCTGATGAGGGCTTCAAACAGCCATACGGGCACAGAGTTCTTTCCTAGCTGCCACCAAATTATCCAAGGGTGTGTTTGCAAAGCAGGACCACCGGAGCGCCCATCAGCAGGACATTCGGGTGCCTACCATTTCCTGAAAGGAGGGAATCTGAGAGCTAGGAGGAGGTCAGGAACAGGTGCAGCTGTGGGTGAGCACCAACTACCTGTTTCTAACCCCTGTGTGCCCGCAGGCTTCTCCAAGCCTCAGATCCTTCATATGTGATGCAGGATCTGAATCTGGGCTTGTTGCCACCCAAGACCTAACAGGGTAACTGTCAGAACAATCCCAGAAGGCTCCACAAAGTCTCTCACCGTCCTTCAATTTTCCACTCTGTCCACTGGCCAGTTGCAAACTTGTATTCAAAGAGGTCATTTTTATTCTTCAGGTTGGAATTGGAATAAATGTCCCCAGTGTAGCCCCCTGAATGGAGAGAGCAAGAAGCTGTCATACCCAAAGACAGTATTTTAATCTTTAAACCTGGGAGGTGGGGCAGAATCTGATCCTTTTAAAAAACGCATTCTAGGATTCCCTCCACAAACTTTGAGGATGCATCCAACATGTACCTGCCTCTGTGCTGGTACCAGAACCCTGGTTCCTACCCCTGGTGGGAGGGGATCCTAGGCATAGAGGCAAGTAATTCCAATCCTGGGGGGTCCAGGACAGTTAGAGAAAAGAGCCCACAGGGTCCGTCAGTCCATGAGAATCCCCCTGCACCACCCCCCCTCCGCCAATCACAAGAGCTCAGGGAATGTGGGCAGACAATGCTGAGGGGCAGGTGAAGAGGCCGGCAAAGAAGAGCCCACAAGCCTGACACATGGCAAGAGGCCCAGGAGATGAGAGGCAACTCACCAAAGACAAACATGCTGCTCCCGTAGACGACAGCCGAGTGGTGGTAGCGGGGGGCTGGTGGGGTCCCAGTGGTAAAAGCCCTGCAGTGGCATAAGGCCCAGTGGGTGTCAATGGGGTAAGCTATGTATATGGTCCATACTCACAGAAGGCAGCCCCTGCCACCCTCAAGCCTCCTTTTACTTTTGTATTTAGGAGGTAGTACCTGCCTTTTTAAAGCACTGCCCAAAAATTACCAAAAATTAAAAACAAAAACCAGCACTAAAGCTTTTGGCAATCCCTTTGCCAAAAACCCCTGTTCATACTGTGAGGTCTCCACACACCCTTCCTACACATATTTACATCTCAGAGTAATTTTTTTAATGGAATCATGTGGTAGATATTTTGCCACTTGCATTTTCAACAAAACAGTAGAAACCCTGTTTAGAAGACTTATGACTAGGTCTTCACATCGACTGCAACACAATAGTAGGGGACTTAATCTTCCACTTAAATCAACAGATCAACCAAAGAGAAAGTCAATAAGGAAACAACTGGCCTAAATGAGAAATCAGACCAGATTAGATTCATAGAGTACTCTACCTCAAAAAAGGTGAGTATACATTACTCTTGAATGCACATGGAACATTCTTCAGGATACACCACGTTACAAAATAATTGTTATGAATTATTGGCTACAAAATAATTGTTATGAAGACAGGAATAGGGCCTCCCTGGTGGCACAGGGGATAAGGACGCAACCTCTGAGTCTGTCCGTAGCCACTGCAGCATGAGTTCGATCCCCTGGCCTGCCAGGGAGCAGCCCACATGGCACAGCAGACTTCTCCTGGCTCTCCCGCTGCTCCCCTCAGCAGTATACTTCAGTCAATCCACCTGTTCTGTTCTCCACTCTGTCTCTGGTGAATCCTCTCACCCCCTCATACCTCTGGCCTGTACTACAGCTTTTGTATGCATAAATAAATAAATCTTTACAAAAAAAAAAAAAAAAGACTGGAATAATTTCAAGTATCTCCTCTGACTACAATGGCCTGAAACTAGAAATCAACCACCGAAATAAAAAGCTCAAATATGTGGAGACTGAACAACATGCTATTGAGTGACTGTTGGGTTAATGAGGAAATCAAAGGAGAAAGAAAAAAAGAAAAAAACAGGAGACAAATGAAAATGAAGGCACGAACTATCAGAACCTAGGGGACACAGCAAAGACAATGCTAAGAGAAAAGTTTATAGCAATATAGGTGACAAAGAAACAAAAAAGCTCAAATAACTAATCTAACTTTATATCTTAAGGATCTATGAAAAGAAGAACTAATGAAACTGAAAGCCACCAAAAGGAAGGAAATAATAAGAATTGGAGTGGAGGTAAATGAAATGAAAAAGACGGTAAAAAAGACTAATGAGAGCAAGAGTGGTTCTTTGAAAAGACAGAAAAATATACAAACTTCTAGCTAGACTCAAAGAAAAAAACGAAATCCTAATAAACAGTATCAGAAATGAAAGAGGAAAAATTATGAAATAGAAGTTACAACCAGCATCTCAGAAATACAGAGGATCATAAAAGACTTCTATAAAATATTTATGCCATTAAATTGGATAATCTAAAAGAAATGGGCAACTTCTTAGAATCACACAACCTTCCAATAATGAATCAGAAAGAAATAGAAAACTTGAATGGATCAAGTTTGGATCCATTCAAACATTCAAACAGTTATAAGCAAGGCAACTGACATAATAATTAAAAATCTCCCAAATATCAAAAGTCTAGGACCAGCTGGTTTTACTAATGAGTTCTAGCAAACCTTCAATGATAGGTATTAACCTATCCCTCTTATACTCTTCCAAAAAATTGAAGAGAAAATGCTCCCAAACACATTTTATGAGGCCAACACACCATGTGATACACTAAAAGTAGACAAGGATATCACACACCCACACCCACACACAAAACTAGGACAATATCCTTGATAAAAACAGATACAAAAATATTAGCAAACTGAATTCAATAATACATTAAAAGAATCATATATCCTGACCAAATGGGATTTATTCCAAAGATGCAAGGATGGTTCCACATATGCAAATCAATGAATGTAATTCACCACATTAGCAAAAGGAAAGATAAAAATCATATGCTCATATCAGTAGATGCAAAGAATGCATTTCACAAGATTCAACACCCATTTATGATAAAAACTCTCCCCAAAATGGGGCTAGAAGGAACATACCACAACATAATAAAGGCCACATATGAGAAACCCATAATTAACATCATTCTCATGAGTGAAAACCTGAAAGTTTTTTCTCTAATACCAGGTACAAAACAAAGATGTTCACTTACACTGCTAACACAGTATTAGCAGTCCTAGCTAGAGCAATTAGGGAAGAGAAAGATATAAAAGGAATCCAGGGTCTCCCTGGTGGCCTAAGGATTAAGTCTCAGCATGATCACCTCTACAGCCTGAGTTCGATCCCTGGCCAGGGAGCTAACCCACATGTGGTGCAACAGACCTCTTCCATCTCACCCACTGCTCCCTTTAGCAGTGTATTTCAGGATATCTGCCTACTCTGCTCCCCACTCTGTCTCTGGAAAACCCTTTTACCCCCGCCCCCACCTCTGGCCATACCCCAGTTCTTCTAAGCATAAATAATCTGTTTTAAAAAATGGAGTCAATGCTCTTAAAAAAAAAAAAACTTTAAAAAGTGGAATCCAAATTGGGAAAAAAGAAGTAAAAGTACCACGACTTGAAGAAGACATAATATACACAGAAAATCCTAATGATGCCACTAAAAAACTATTACAAACAGTAAATCAGTACAATAAAATGGCAGGCTACAAAGGAATAAAGGAAAATCTGCATTCCCTATATGCAAACAACAAACTAGAGAGAATAAAACAAGAAAACAACAAAAAGAATCAAATATTTAAATCAAATACTCTAAAATCATCTATTCCCACATTCATGCAGAAGCACAGTATTCTACCACATGGGTAAAGAAATTTGATTACTGAATTAAAACCCAATTTATATTGCTTCACAGGGGCTGCTCCTTTTCAGAGTTTTATACTTAAGCAGTTTTTAACAAAAAAGTGTGTTGAGTATTCAGTGATTTTTAAAATTAATCTATAAGTATTGGCTGTATTTTAAAATCAAATGTGAGAGAAATATAGTGTAAACTTATGTGGCATTCCCAACACTCCCAGGCCTCTTGAAGAGAAGGGGCACCATATGGAGTTGTGCCCTCCTGCATGCCAGACTTGCCAGCTGTGGGTCCTTCCGGTGCCCCCTCCCGCGGCAGAACTCAAGTGATAACAATTAAGTCCTTGATGTTCAGCATGGTCAAGGCCCCGAGCACGCGGAAGGAACACCTTGAACCCCGAGAAGATGGCTGCTGATCGTCATCATCATTTTATTAAGTTTGTTTTCTTTGTTGCCTAGCAGAATAAGTTACCCATTAGCTGTTTATCTCTTGACTCTAAAGAATCTACCTGGTAATGGTGTTATGAATGAATTTTCTCATACTTACAACTTTTCCCTAATTCTTTTAATAACTCTAATCTTCCTTGTTTTATGAAAGTGCCTGAGAAGAGGCTCATAAGTTAATAATTATAGACTACAATTATGGAATGTAGTCAGGAAACTTCCCCCAACAGCCAAGACCTCACTTAGAAACAGTCTATGTTATTAAAAGACATCCATGGCGGCCACTTCAAGGAGGTATTGTGAAAAATGTAGTTAATATAAAATCCCAGTGACAAACTGACGTCATCTACCTACATGGTAAGAAAAAAGTTATTATTAAAGAAAAAGAAAATAAAGCATACTAAATCACTAATACAATATAATTGAGTTAAGGTCGCCATGGAGTTCGTATCCATCACTTTGTCAGGGAAATCAAGGCACTTGTATAGAACAAGAAAAACAGGTTTGGAAATAATGTAGCCATAGTTACACCTCATATATGGTTAACCACATACGCTTAGTTTCTTGTAATCATTATTTAAAAAATTGTACCTTGCTATGGAACACTGCACACATCTTTTATGAAAAACAAGAAAATATATCACTTACGTCATTTATGATTGATATCTTCTTTTGTTGATCTTATGTAATCTAATACTGTTTGAAAATGTATTAAAATGCATAATGATTTGAGCACATTACATTCAGATATTCACTCTAGAAGTGTGTCTGTTTGTCATTTTATGCGCCGAATCCTTGACCACCCCGCACAGTTTCTCATCCCTGAGTCGGCCTTGCTAGTCTACCGCTGCGCCGCGGCAGGTCCTGGGTCCTGATATCCTATCAAAGGAGGGCAGTGAGATTCTACCCCTGAGGGCTGCTGGGGTCTGAGGGGGCTGTGCACCCAGGATCAACTAATTCCATTTTCTGTTTCTCCCCCCCCTACCTCCGCCCCAACTCTGAGCTGCTCCCAGGTAGAGGCTGGACTGAGCTGATAGGCACTAACATGCAGTCCTCAAAGAGGACAGGAGTCTTGCCCAAGGCCACACAACTGAGGAGGGCATCTGTGGGAGGAGACCAAGTCCCAAATCCTACCCACTGCCTGTGTGGGGTCTTCTGGCAGGGCGTGAGCCCTACAGAATATGGGGAGAAGGGGAATCACTGCCATGACCTCAGGCAGTTCCCTGTAGCAAGAGTCAATCCCAGTCAGACCCATCAGTCCATGACCACACAGGTGGGATTGACTCTTGCTACAGGGAACTGCCTGAGGTCATGGCAGTGATTCCCCTTCTCCCCATATTCTGTAGGGCTCACGCCCTGCCAGAAGACCCCACACAGGCAGTGGGTAGGATTTGGGACTTGGTCTCCTCCCACAGATGCCCTCCTCAGTTGTGTGGCCTTGGGCAAGACTCCTGTCCTCTTTGAGGACTGCATGTTAGTGCCTATCAGCTCAGTCCAGCCTCTACCTGGGAGCAGCTCAGAGTTGGGGCGGAGGTAGGGGGGGGAGAAACAGAAAATGGAATTAGTTGATCCTGGGTGCACAGCCCCCTCAGACCCCAGCAGCCCTCAGGGGTAGAATCTCACTGCCCCCCTTTGACAGAGGAGGATATCAGGACCCAGGACCCACAGCTGGCAAGGCTGGCATGCAGGAGGGCACAACTCCATATGGTGCCCCTTCTCTTCAAGAGGCCTGGGAGTATTGGGAATGCCACATAAGTTTACACTATATTTCTCTCATGGTAGTCTCTGGCCTGGGAGACAGGCCTGATAACTGGAGGACTCTCTTGAAGCACAACTTGAAGACTGGCAACTGAATCAAATAGATCTCCTTAATTGGCAGAGTTCAGAATAATCAGTCATAGTCCATGGACTGGAAAAGAAAGCCAAGATACATAGAAAAACGCTCAGAGTGCCCCTGGGCATGTCTTCCCAGTGACAACTACCATCTCTCGCTTGGAGCTTCTCTCTAGCCTTCCACAATGAGCAAGACTTTGACTGTGGCAAGCAGGGCCCATCAGAGTGCTGTTCTGTTGTGTTGCAGGAGAAAGAGCAGGGTCCTGGAGCATGGCAGCCACCCACCTGCACCAGGAGCAGTCCTTCACATCGAACCGCAAGAGGTCGTTGAGCATCGTCTTCCTGAAACACAGTCAGAGAAAGGTGGATTTGACCCAGGTCAGCTCTTCAGGTCATTGCATTCCCTCCCCCACCCCCACCAGGACCACAGAAATGGACACTAGAGCCTGAAGGAACTGTTCTGGGGGGGCTTTGCCAAGACCAGGTAACCAGCTGATGCCTGACAGACAAGAGGTGACTAAAATGGATATTCCCCAACTTGTTGTGGGCACCAGGGCTGCAGTGGAACAGCCTGCCTAGGACAGGACCAAAGCATAATTCAGGTCACCCAGTGGCTGACTTGAGTGCTAACACCTCACACTTGAGGGACACTTGAGGGATCCTGCATCCCCACCTCATGACCAGTCACAAATCTCAACATCTTTGTTGAGATTGTGCCACCACAATGCAGATGCTCTGATCATCCTGACACTATTGAAAATCTAATGTACAACTACACTAAAGATATGATAAAGTATGGGGCCTCCCTGGTGGCATGGGCAGTTGAGCGCAGCGCTGTGAAGCTGTCCACAGCCTCTACAGTGCGGGTTCGATCCCGACCAGCCAGGGAGATACCCACATGGCACGGCTGACCTCTCCTGTCTCACCTGCTGCTCCCCTCAGCGGTGTATTTCAGTAGATCTGCCTGTTCTGTTTTCCACTCTGTCTCTTGTGAATCCTCTCACCCCCAGCACCTCTGGCCTGTACCCCGGTTCTTGTATAAATGAATAAATAAATTAAAAAAAAAAAGACACAAGCTATGAAGCTATGCACAGCCACTGCAGCAAAAGTTTGATCCCCGGCCAGGGAGCTACCCACATGGTGCAGCAGACCTCTCCTGTCTCACCTGCTGCTGCCCTCAGCAGTGTATTTCAGTCAGTCTGCCTGGTTCTGTTCCCCACTCTGTCTCTGGTGAATCCTCTTACCCCCAGCACCTCTGGCCTGTACCCCAGTTCTTTTTTTTTAATACTGTTTTTGTTTGTTTGTTTGTTTGTTTTTATTTATTTATACAAGCACTGGGTACAGTCAGAAGCGCGGGAGGGTGAGAGAATTCACCAGAGCCAGAGCAGGGAGCAGAACAGACAGAAGGACCAAAGTACACTGCTGAGGGGAGCAGCGGGCGGCAGGAGAGGTCTGCGTGCTATGTGGGACCCTTGCCGGGTGGCCGGGCATCCAACCGGTGCTGCAGAGGCTGTGGGCAGCTTCGCAACTCAGCATTCAACCGCTGCGCCACCGCAGCGGGATGCCCTGTATCGTAGTTCTTGTATGCCCTGTACCCTAGTTTTTGTATGCATAAATAAATAAATTCATTGGCCACCACCTAACTATTAACTATTGTACATAAGAGTGAAGACAGGGTTCAAGCCAACAGGAGCCTAGCACGTCCTACATGCCAGACCTGTCCAGTCTGCACCAGGTATCTACACTCTCCTCCAAGTACAAAAGAGAGGACAGCCTGGGAGACAAAAGGCCTGAAGAAGCCATGAGGCCAGGAAGACAGGAGCTGCAGCAGGGTTGTACCCAGTCAGTCTTTACAAAGTTACCACTTTGTAAGATGAATAATACCTGTCCTGTTTCCTTAGGGTGAGTTGTTTCTGCTGTCTGCCATAAAACTGTTATGCAAAGAGCCAGCTACAGATCTCACCTGGGGATGTTTCTGCCTACCACCCTGTGCTGGACACCAGGACTTTGCAGGTTTGGAAGATTCTCCTTAAGGTTTCAGTAAAGATCTGTGGGCAGATGTCTCTTGTCTATTTATTCCTTTCTGTGATATTTATTGAATTGCCTGGGTGATGGGATACAGGCCCTGCACTAAAAGAGGAGAGATAACAAACATCTGCATGCTTCAGGGGGAAATGGAGCAGGTAAGGAGTATTAGAGGGGGGTGGAGAAGAGGTGACAGCTGCCGGGTGATCTGGTGGCCAGGGAAGCCCTCAGTCATAAGAGCATCACAGGGGCAGGAAGGGCAAAAGGAAAAGACCAGTGAAGGCATGAGCAGAAAGGTACTTGATACAACCAGAAGAGAGCACCCCAATGGTGTGGCTCATTGCAGTGCAGGATGAGGACAGAAGAGCAGTCGGGGAGCATGTAGGACCTCAAGGAGCTGGAGCTTTCAGTGAAATGTGGGGAAACATCCCAGGATTATGAGCAGAGGAAAAACATGCTCCAGCTTGCATTTTCAAGTTGATGGCTCTGGCTGCTCAAAGGCAAAAAGGCGGTGGGGGAGACCAGCTGGAAGCAAAGGGGCATGCTCAGAGACCCATCTGCCCAGTCTGCAGGTCCACCCTAGGTTCTGCCGACCTTACCAGAGCCAAGTCAGCTGCCCCAGGGAGTTCTGCAGGACTGAGGCTGCTGCACCCCTCAGAAGCCTGTCCTGCCTGGGTTTTAGGCAGGTACTGCGGAGGAGAGGTGGGCACAGGACTCACCGGTAGGATAGTTCATGCACAAACACTGCACCCTCAGCACAGGGAAACTGAACCCCTCACAACCTGTATCCACTGACCCCAGGAGCACTCTGCACACACAGGACATATGGCCACCCTCTGTCTAATACAGGGGAGGAGACCACAGTGTAGTTAATGCCATTAAGCTGCCTGCCCAAGCCCAAAGCCATAAAGTGCTAACTTGAACTGAGTCCTGCGTGTACAGGAGACCTAGCTTCAGACCCACATCTAGCACAATAATAAATCAATGAGGGAGGGAAGGCCTGTCTAGGTCAATGTCTAGGCCCAATGATGTTCTGTACTCTCCCACTTGCAAGTCTTTGCCCACACTGATCCTTCTGCTTGGTACATTCTTCCTCTTTTGCCAGCACATTACTAGTCATCTTCCAGGTTATCAACCCCTCCAGGAAGGCATTTCTGAGGAAAAAGTCTTCTCCTAGTAGAGGACCAGCATGCTTGTTATGCCCATGCCCATAACCTGATATAGCCCAGCCTACACTAGGAGTTTTTTCCCCTCCATGTAGGTCCAGCTCCCCTGTATCTTTTTGGCTGCCATACAAATACGTGGATGCAGCACAGAAAGAAGTGCCTGAAAGGGCTGATGTGTTTCTTTCAAGGTTACATACGTTCACTCAGAAAAAGAGGGCCACTTACATGTACAGAGCATGTGCTACCCCCTACTCGATGCTGTACTGAAGGCCTTGAGTGCAGCAAACCTCATGGAATGGGAAACTGGGGCTAAGCACTTAACTAATATCTGAAAGAATAGCAGTTGCACTACAGATGCCCAGTCTCAACCACCATGCTTCTCCTTTCCTGGCTTAAATAGCCTGATGCTCTAACCCAAACTCACCCATTGTCTCCACCAAATACGTAGATGGCATCTTTATAGGCCACCACTGTGTGCTTGCTGCGCCTGGAAATAAAGGAAAAGTGGACAGCAGTGAGGCCAGAACCCTCCTGGGGCATTCAAAGAATGAAACTAAGCATGGGTGGTCCCAAGAATTGGGTAACATCTCACAATTAGCAAGATAGATAAAGATCCCCCAAAGGGCTCTGTCTGTGGAGCTCTCTGGCACTGTCCTGGGAGTCTCTGAACTCTCACAAGCCACTGCGGAACAAGTGGGACCCCAAACCCACAAATACAAGACCGACAAATACAACTTAACCTAGTATTCTTCTCAGGGCCACCCCCCTTAGAAACTTACTCAGAACCTCCACCCCTGCCCTGTGAAGGTCCATGCAGCAGGCCAGAATGCAAAAGCCTACCCAGAAGCCCACCTGGGGGGCAGGAATGCGGATACCTGCCTGGAGGACTCAGACAATGAGCCTCCCCCCTCCCCCTACGAGTCTCATCTCAGACAAAGAACCTCTACCTGCCCTACAAACTTTTCCCCCGTTCGAGCCCAACTACCCACCTGATCTCTCCTCACCCTATAAAACCCTGCTTCCCCCTAGCAACGTGCGCGACTCCACTGACCCCCGCCTTGGGTCTGTGAGGTCCGCCCGGGGCGCAATAAACTTTCCCTCCCTTTGAGAAATGTAGCCTGGCTCTCCTTTTCTTTACCGCGCCGAACCTTTCACCCTGGACACGGTCCTGGACACCATCACTCCTCCCCCACCCTATTACCAGGTCCCTCCCCAGGGCACCACGTCCCCGACCTCGCCACTGGCCCCTGGCCTCGGCTCTGGGGACCCCCCCACCTTAGAAACCCTCCCATAGTCCCCAAGATCCCCTGACGCTCGCCATACCGGGCCCCCACGAACTCGTCGCAGGGAGGGAGGCGCCGCCAGCGATGCACGGTCTCGAAGGGCCCGAAATTGAGCGTCAGGTACTCGACACTGTCCGAACAGCTGTGGTCAAAGTCCACGCTTGGGGCTACCTTGGACCGCGCGCCGCCTGCCAGGGCCCCAGCCCCAATCGGGCCTCCAGTGCCGCTCGGCCCAGCCATCCAGTCTCCACGCCGATCGGTCACCGGGTCTGCGGGACTCGCGGCCACCGCCCCGGGCCGCCCAAAGGGACTACATTTCCCAGAAAGCCCTGTGGCGCAAGCGCGGCACTTCCGGCCAGTGCCGCTCCGGCCGGCCGGCGCTTCTCGCCCAATCCAGAGCGCCCCGAGACTTCACGGAGCAGCCCCGTACCTGGGCGGTCGCCACCAGGCGAGTGGGATACACATCCCGCGGAGTACTGGCGCCCTGTTTCCCATTTCTGGGAACGCCGCCCCAGTCCCGTCCGAACTGCACTTCCAGGCGCCTGCCAGACCCACCCAGAGATAGGCCCTAGCTCCCGGCATGCCTTGTCTGCGCCTGGCTCGGCCGTGGTGGTCCGCGGCTCGCGGAATCCCAGATGGAGGGTTCCGGGCTGCAGCGGCCTGCGAAGGAGACTTGCTCTCCCCTTTCTCCTTGCATTCTTAGCTTTGGCCTCCTGTGGCATCGTGGCCACGGGACTCTGGATTTGCATTCCTACTTTATTGCAGAACCTGAGCTTCTTCACCTGCAAAATGGGGATTCAGGACTCCGGCTGCCAGAGAAGCATGTCTGTCTCAAGACAGCTTATACAGTTCTAAGGAGGCAAAAGCGCCCAAATAGCCACACATGAGCTGCCTCTGACCTTGGAAGTGTTATAGGGCAGCCCCGATACGAAACGGGGTGCCTGACTGTGGGTCCTCACCTGCGCGCTTAAAAGGACTTATCAATGCTCTACTGCAGGCACACGCGAAAGGTTAATAAAAGGTTTATTTACAAGGGAAGGGCAAATGAGGAAATGGACAACTCAGGGAGAAAAAGTGGGACACAGAGTTTTAAATGCGTCCTACCCGATCCGCCAATCAGGAATCCCAAATGGTACTCTGAGAGCTGGCCGCCGGCCAGGAGCTGTGAAGCCAGGAGGCCAGCCAGAGAGGGACCCCCCCACCACCACAAGGCCCATGTGTTTGGTTTTTATACCAACCCTGGCTGCTTAACTCCACCCTCAGGTCCCAGCCACCTTCCCTTTGGTGGTGACAGGATTTGTCTTTCCCAATGTCCTGATGGCTTTGGTCTGGAGTAGGGGTGGAGTCCACAAAACCTGTATGGGATTAGCTCAGGACATCCTTTCCCCCTAACAATTCCCCCCTTTCACTTTTTGCAGCATTTCCTGTCTCAAGTCCTTTGCAAGTGCTGCTCCTTCTACCTCCAGAGCACTTCCATTCAAAATTCAGATTCAAGACTGGTGGAGGAGTCTTCCCTAACCCCAGGGGCAGATCAGTTGCCTCTCATCTCGGCACTAACAGGCCAAACTTCCTTGGTGTGCCACTGAGTATTCTCTGGTTGTTCCTGTCTCCAGGTCATCTGCTTTTCCCCTCATGAGTATTTTCCCAATTACAGTGGAAGTCACACAGATCAGGAAATGTGTGCATTTTAATTTTAAGACAATGTCTAGTACGTTGCAGGGCCCTACAGGGGACTAGTCCCAATAGAGGGGTAAGAGGCAAGGCTATCCTGCCTCCACTCCCACCCATCACCGTGGGTGGCAGTCAAGGCCTTTGTGGGGGGTGAGTATCTCCTGGAGGCAGCGGAGGCCTCCCTGAAGGGTAGCCAAGTAGTGGAAGGCAAGCTCTGGGAGGGCTCATGTTTTGCCCTGGGGAATCCTGGGAAATTGGAGGTTGGCACCTGCCCCCAGGGCTCTGCTTTTGTCCCTGGTGTCTCAGCATGCCTGCCCAAGTCCACTTCATGTGAGCTCAGGATCCTTTCCCTGTGAGCCAGGACATGTCGCCAGTCCTGCAGGAATGAGGGGAGGAGGGGTCAGGGCAGAAGAGAGGAGGTTCCCCACTCAGCACCCTGAGCAGCTGGCCCTTGAGAGAGCAGGGCGTCTGCTTTGTGCCAGGCCCTGGTGCCCCCCTGTTATGTGTACTTGGGCAGAAGGGGAAAGACTATTGGGTGCAGGCTCTGGACTGAGGTGGGAGAGGCTTAGAATGGTCAGCAGGAAGAACAGAAAATACACGTACTTGCTGTGTAGCACAAACAGCCTTTGCGAAGGCAAGAGGGAGAGACAGAGAGAAGGCCAGGGAGAAAGCATGTCATTCATCTTGTCCCATCTTGCTTCTCCTTTGTTTACACCCTGAAGTCTACCCCATCCCATGGCCTTCAGGCTTTCCCCAGTCACTGGGGGCTCTCTCTAGGCAGATCAAGCCTATGGAGTGACCCCATGCTAGGATAAGAGTAATGGCTGGTGTCCAGTGCCTCCAAGCCCTCAAACAACCACCTCACTTCTCTGTGCAGGGCATTGCCCAGGGCCATCACTAGCTGCATTTACCCACTTGGTTTCTGTCATGCTCAACACAGCCTATCCAGTCAGGTGTCCCAAGCTTTGATCCCTCCCCAACAGCACTGGGACACTGCCCCTTTTCCTTCTATTTTTCTGTCTCCCAGGAGCACATATAACCTGCCCACTCCCAAACCACAACCCTTGCTCTGCATAGCCCCATAGACCTGGAGCCTTCGATCTGGGAGCCTCAGATCAATGGGGACCAAGAGTAGGGGAAAGGGGACTGGAGGACTGTGAAGGCAGCTGACTGCCACGGGCAGCTTGAGCTATTTCCTTGAGCTATTTCCTCCCTCCAGACCATTGATGCCCAAACTTACTCCACCTCCCGCTTCCGAATGGCACGGCCTGAGGCCAGCACCTCTGCCACCTTGGACACGATGGGATCATAGTTCATGCTGGCCACAGCTATCACCTCGTCACCTCTGCAGAGAGAGGATAGCTAAGCCTAAGAACTGCCCAGCACCAGCCCTCTTGAAGACCCTGACACATTCCTGCCCACCTGGGGCTCAGGAGGGGGTCTAGCCTAGAACAACAGAACTGTCCAGAGCACCCTCCCCGCCCCCACTTTGCACTTTACTGCTTGGCTTCAGTCTTCCTCTTCATGGGCTTCAGGATTGGGCTCCTCTGCCTGTGTCACTTCCCTTAGTGTAAAAGTGCAGTGTCCACACCCAACTCAAAGAGTTGTCCCAAAGATAAAATGGCTAGCCTCCATGCATAGTAGCTGGAGTTATTCCTGTCCAGCCTCCTCACCTTCCCTTGGCCTCGTCTCCTGTCTAGCTGCCTCCCTTTGCCACCTGCTCCACCTTTCCTGTCAGTTTCCATCTGGAACAGAGCTTCTCTGGGATGATTCCCTCTCCCATTGCTTGGCACCCCTGTTCCACCCTGTTGCTCTCACTTGGTGTAAAAAGCCACGAACTTCAGCTCTTCCAGATCCCCCTGGATGATGACGTCATCGAAGCCTTCTCCATACCCTGTGGGTCAGGCAGTCAGTGGTGGCGCCATGTGAATGGAAGGGAGGGGGCTTCCAAGGGCCTCACACCTCGGGCCCCCTCCGGACCCAGTGAGCTCCCTCAGACCTTTGAGCTAGCCCTGCCCCCAGTGAGCTCTTTGGGCCTTCCTGTAATCATCATGGCCCTGCCCCTAGGATGCTCCTAGCCCCCCATCTGCATTCTGAGAGCCTGGAAAAATCCAGGCTCTCTCCTAAGACCTCATCTCACAACCCCCACCCCCATGAAAGGGCCCTCAGTTACCTGCATAACGCAGGCTCTTGCCAAACATTGCAGTCCACAGGTAGGGCACGGTGCTGATCTCTGCCTCCTGTGCTAGCATGTTCTGGGCCGCCACGCGCCCTGTGGGACCCAGGGCCGTAAGAGCCCTGACCCCCACCATCACCACCCCTACACTGTATCGGGACACCTAAAATGTGGAACTACATTTTGTCTCCCTAAAAGTCCATAGGGGCATCTTTTCTCAGCCCACTGCCCACCCTCAGCTGTAACTGATGGTGCACAGGTGGACACCTGGCTCAAAGGCAGCCTCTTAGATTGCTTCTCTGGAGAAGGTGAATGAAATGCCCTGAGTCTGGAAGGTCAGCTTCCTGGGCTTCTGGGACTTCCCTTTCTTATACTCGGCAAATGAGCAGCCTTTGGTTCTTTAAGACCTAGCATCAACCTTTGACCTTGGGCCTCAGGAGAAATTGGTACCAGGAGTAGGATTTCAGGCACAGACCCTCAGATAACGTGAAGGCAGAAGAAAGGAGAAATAGGTTCAGGGCATCTGGAAGTCCTCCCTGTGAGGCGGTGAGGCAGATAACTTACTGGCACCTGTGGCTTAAAGGTCCCCACCAGGTGCACACAGCGAGTAAGGCATCAGAGGCCTGGGAACCACCAAATATGTGGGAGGAGGCTATTCCTCAGCACAGATCCCACTGAGTCTGGGTTACCAGCTCAGAAGGCTACCTCCCCAGGCCTGCGTGAGGCTACTGGGTTACAGTCCAAGGTAGACAGGGGCACTGACTGGGGAGCTGGCCTGTGTCCTAATAAATTCCTTTCTCTTGCCCCAGTTGACTACACAGGTTGGTAAGGAATTCTGTGGAACATGTCTTTAAGGAGTGACTGGCAGAAGGACATGTGGCTGATTGGAGATGGGACCACAGGGCCTACTCTGTGAGCTGGCTGAGGCTGACCAGAGAGGTTACCACAGGGCCTTGAATAGCTAACCCAAAGACCCAAACCCAAGGCCAGCAACTAAGAGGTGCGCCAAGGGGAGGCTGAGACCCTGCTTCAAGGCTAGCCATACCCTGGGCATGAGCCATCTGCCAGTGTGGGATATTCACTTTCCGATTATTCCTCCAGGCCAAGGGGAAGGTGACAGCATCTCCAGCGGCAAACACACCTGGGATGTTGGTCTGCATCATCTGTGGAGAGAAGACCCAGAGCTCTGACCTGACCCTCCCACCCATTCCCAGCCCAGCACCCTTGCCCACACCACCCACCCCACCTTGTTGACAGGGATGAAGCCTCGGGAATCCAAACCAATGCTGCTCTGCCTCAAGAAGCCGGTGGCAGGAACTGCACCTGACAGAACAGAACCCACTGTGTTCACTCCCTAATCCCTCCCTTTTTCTGCCCCATCACTCTCCACAAACCCATACCCTTCACTCACTGAAATCTAGCTCCAGATTGACTCTTCATGGACTGCCCACCCTGGGGCCTTGATGCGTCCTGACCCTCTGTCCCACAGACCCCAGTGCCTCCCATCAGGCCTTATGGGTCACCTCCTCCAAGAAACACTCCAGGAAGCCCCCTATCTCCCATGGGGATTGACATGCCATAACTCCCAAACCCTCTTGGCTATCTCCCAGCTTTGTCCCTCCCCAAACTAGAACCTCAACTGGAGGGAGCAGGGACCAGGTAGAGGCTTGTCTGTGTCCTCAATATTAGTGGATAGTGGTCAGTAGGAGCATCCTCCTTGCTAGGCCTGGACTAGGCCTAATATACACATTCCTGAACAGCCCTGAAAAATGGGTATAGTTGGGGGCCCCCATTTTGCAGATGTTGAGAGTAAGGCTCAAGATGGGGAAGGGACTGGCCCAAGGTTACTCTTGAGTGTGCAGGTGGTTCTGCTCACCCACTCACCAATGCCCACCACGCAGACGTCAGCCCGCACAACCTTACTGCTCTTCAGCACGACCTCCTTCAGCTGTGGGAATTGGGTGGGTGAGCAGGTGGGCCCAACTCTGGGGCCCAGGGAAAAAGGGACAGAAAGTGGCAGGGAGTGGACAGAGGGCCTACCTTTCCCTCCTGGGCCCGCAACTCTGAGACCTCTGTCTGCATGTAGAACTTGACACGATTGCTCTCAAACATCTGTCAGGGTAGGTGGGGGGATGGGCAGTGGCGAGGGCCTGACTGGGGACTTTGTTGGATACCCAGGGTTCTGAGGGGCTGGATGCCAGGGTAGGCTCACCTTCATGAGGGCACGACCAACACGCTCCCCCAGGAACCTCCTGAAGGGCGTTTCCTCCAGCTCCACCACAGACACGGAGTGGGCCTTCTCAGTCAGATAGGCAGCCACCTCCATTCCTGGAGGCAGGATGGTGGGTGATGGGCTGGCATCACGTACCTCCCAGGGCTAGCACCTCCCTGGCCTGGCCATGATGGCTTGACCACCACCTCCACCATCCCTGGCTACTCACCTAGGAAGCCAGCTCCCACGACCACCACGTTCCGGCCCCTGGCCAGCCTCACCACACGATTGGCATCTTCAGGTGTGCGAATGGTGAACACATTTTCCACCTCTTTGCCTTTGCAGCTCAGGGTCTTAGGGCTGAGATATGGCCGGCAACAGTGAGGGGTTCCCAGAGTCCAGGGCCCTCCTCCCCGCCCAGTGCTCTGTCCAGTGTCATGGGGGTCAAAAGAGGAGATGTCCTCCTACCTGCTCCCTGGTGCCAGCAGCAGCTTGCTGTACTCGAGCTTGAAGCCATCCTTGAACACGACCTTCTTGTTTCTCACATCCACTGTGACCACCTACAACCCCCACCAGGCAGAGTGTAGATGGAACGGGCCTCTCTGCCCTCTCCCAGCTCCTGTAATATGCCCACATCCCAGACCCCCTAAGATGCTTCTACAGGGACTGTTCCTGCCACCTCGGTTGTCCTTCCTCCCTCACCTGGCAGCTTTTGCTAACTCTGTAAGCTTTAGGTATCAGCTTCCTCTCAAATCCCTCCATATACTCTCAAGTCCCGCCAGGGCCTCCTGCTCTGGCTCTTAGCAAGTCATCCTCCCTGCTAGGCCTGGGATAAGTCCACTCTGTGCATTTCCCAGCAGCCCTGAGAAGTGGGTACAGTGCCTGTGCCCATGTATTGCAGCTCTCCATGAGCCTGACAGGAAGACAATCCGGTGTTGTCTCCAAGGCCTTGAATACCCCTCAGATGCCTGAGTAGGAGGGCAGAACACCCTCTACACTTCTGGGGGCACCCCCAGATTCATGCCATTCATGGTTCCCATTAAGCCCACTTCCCCAGCCTTGACCTCATACCTGAGCCTCCATGAGAACCTCAATACCATAGGCTCGGAAGAACTCCTTGGGCCTCAGGGCCAGTTGCTCGGACTGTGATTCCAGGGACTGCAGGAGACAGCCAGCTTGAGATGAGATCAGGGGTCACAGTTCCATTTCACAACAAAAATGGAAACCCAGAGAGGGTGGTGCCAGCCCCAGGTCACACGACTGTAGGAGTGAACTCAACAAACCCAGATCTTTCTGGGGGTACCCCAGATGAACCTGGTACGAGCAATGAGGGCAGCTAGCCAGACTCCCAAGGGGTGACATCAAGATGATGATCACTCCCAACTGGGACACAAAAGGCTAGGGGCCTGAGTCCTGCCTGTGCCCTCTTTTACTCCACCCCTCCCCACCTTGCTGAGCTTGGGTCGGTCATAGGGGAAGTGTCGGTCCAGCGTGCACAGGACAATTCTGTCTGAGAAGCCCTCCTGCCGCAGTGTCTCTGCACACACCAAGCCAGCTGCACCTGAGGAGAGGGGACTGTGGGTCAAGAACCATCTTTTCCCCAACCCACCCTGACCTCGTGACCTCACCACCAACCTGCGCCCACAATGAGCACGTTGGTGCTGCCGCTGTGGCCAGCACTCGGAGAGATACACTTGGCCATCACCTTGGTCCTTCGCTGCAGCTGCAAGGCCTGAGGGTGGCCAGAGAGTGGGAAGAGCAGGCAGCTGGGGTCGGTTGTTGCCATCTTCCTGTGCCAACATCCTAGCCAACCAGGTCCTGCTACTCCAGCACAGCTTCATCTCCAGCTCTTCATGCTGTTCCCTGGGCCAAGATGTCCCCCTCAACTTTACCTTTTGTCCAGACCCCAAGCTACCCCCTTACCTGCTTGCTGGCCCGGACGTACACTTTCTCCTTCTCAATCTTCACCTGCAAGGGCTAAGTTGCTCAGGACCAGTCTTTGGGGTGCTCCAGTCCCTGACCCTGCACCCCAAGCTGCCACCCCACTGCACACCCTGTCCCACCTGGAACTTGTGCAGACTGTCCAGGCCAGGGAAATCCTCTAGGTCCCCAGTGCTGATGTTGAAGCAGGCGCCATGCCAGGGACAGCGTACCCGACCTCGGGACAGCACACCTGGGAGGGGACAGCGCGAGTCTGGGGCCACCACCAAGAACTCCTCTGCAAGTATTCCTATGCCCCGTACCCACTGACCTTTCCCACAGCCCAGGAGACCCCACTAGTAGATGAGGACCTAGAGGTCCAGGAAGGGGTCAAGCTGACCTGGGACCTGGTCTAGCCCCTTATGGGAAGAACAGCCAAATCACCTTCAGGGAGGTCCTGCCCCTCCCTCCCATGTACCCTTGGGACAGCTCACCTTTCACCAGGGGTGCACCATAGTGGGGACACTTGTGGCCCAAGGCATGAAACTCCCCGTTGTCCTTCACCAGCAACACCTTTCCCCAGCCCAGCTCCACTTCCCGCATCCTAGGGAGGGGCTGTACTCAGAGGTCAGGCCAGACACCAGGCAGCCAGGCGCAACCCCCTGTGGGCACCTTTTTCCAGAGTTCAACGTTCTTGGGACCCAAACAGCAGAAGCCTCCAAAGAGGTGACCAGGGTAGGAGGTGGTCATGGGTACTTTCCAGTACTCCCAGCCCACTCCATCCCTGATCTGTAGCTTACCCTCCCATCTAGGTCCACGGATTCCCCCCTCCCAGGCCCAGCACCCACTGGCCATTCTCAAGGTCCTTGACATGGCAGACAGCAGCCTCAATGCAGTCCTGAGTGCCAGGGTAGGGGTGTGTGGCGGGCAGGCGCTCCTCAGCGTGGAAGTGGCGGGCCGTGCCATTTCCCTGGTAGGCCCGGGGGCTGCCCTTCCCGCTGGCTGACAGCTCCTCCTTGCCCCGCTCCTTCTCGGGCAGCACCACTTCGATCTTGAGCTCCACTGCAGGTAGGGCAGTGCTGTGAGTCCCTGACCCTACTCACCTCCTGCGCCACCCCACTAGCTCTGGATCGGGTTGGATCTTGAGTCTAGATTCTCCCTTGCGCCACAACCACTCCAGAAAGTCAGCTGCACCACCAGGCAGGAGCCTTAAAATGGTAAGAAGGGGGGGCACGGTGGGGGTGGGGAGTGTAGGGATAGTTGGGTCGGCTTGAATTAATGTCCACAAGTTTTCTTTTTCAATAACAAGATTAGTGAGGAGGGCAAAAAAACGAAGCTCCTTTGACCCTGAAACTGGCCCTAGTGCAAGGGTCTGTGCTGAGGACAAATGCCTAGTGCCCCAAGTCTGCTCTGACTCCAAGGAAGCAGTCTCCCAGGGATGATGCTGACACCCCTCATGGCTCAGGGGCAAGGTTAGGGTATGATTTTAGAACAGTGTCCAAAACTGGGAATGGCTCAGTGAATGTGGGAGATGGGAAATCGAGGGGTCATTGTTCTACATTTACAACTTCCCTATCGGTTTCAACATTGTTTCAAAATGTAAGGAAGTGTACACAACATAATTTCAACTTCTTTAAATTAGCTATTGGCACCAATCTGAGAATTCTTCATCATTTAGTAAGTGCTGATTTTTCAGTGACTTCATTTGTGAGAGCCTGGGGCCTAGGGAGGGGACCCCACGCAGGAAGGAGCGTGAGGACAACACAGAGGGTCACAGGGCAACCTCACCTCCACCAAGAAGACACTTCCTCATGTGCCCACATGAGGAAGGCTTACTCTAGAGTAGGCCTACTCTAGGGAGCAGGAAGTAGGAGATTGTCCTTTTCTCCTTTATATTTTTTGCACATTTTTCAAATTCCCTGCAATGCACCGGGGGTATTTTTCTAATTAGAAGAGAACAATAAACAGAATTTTTAGCAGCGATAATCCGGCCTCCTGGGCTGCTGCTGCAGGGAGGACTGTGGAGTGATAGAAACTAAGCCCCTGGCACAGTGTGGGGCCCACAGGGAGCAGGAAGTTCCTCTCCCCACTTCTAAGGCACCAGAGCCTCAAGCTTCTCCTGACTTCACCTCTTACATCCTTCACCTCAGGCCGGACACTTGGGTAACAAAGCACCCAGCCTTTTTAATTCAAACTGCCCAGCCTTTGCCTTTGCAGTTCTCTTGGCCCAGGCTGTCCTCCCCCCCCCCCCCCATGCTGGCTAACTCGTGCCCTCCCACCCAGACACACCCCCTGCGCTGCCTCCACTGGCTGCCCAGTCCCTGTGTGTCCCTCATCACGTGCTGTTCCGATCCCCACCCCCCACTCCCCCCACCCCCGCTGGCCCCCGAGCTAGACCCAGAGACTGTGCGGGCAGGCCTGTGGCCCTCCTCCTCAGTTTCCAGCCCCCAGACCCAGCAGGGGGCAGTGAAGTCTGCTCCTGTGATCCTAGCTGGCTCCACACTGAGGTTGTTGTGGCAGGTGGGAGGGGGCAGGGGTTACAGGGGAGGATGGGTTTTCCCCTCCATTTCCCACACTTTATGTAATGAGGTTAGAATGTTTTTGGAACAATTAAGAAGAAAAATACCGTGGACTCAGCTGACGACAGCTATGTGTGTGAACTGAAGAGAGGTTGCTCACAGGACCAGCCTAGCAGGGGCTGGGAGAACAGCCAAGCCAGGCTAGTCTGTTTTCATTCTCTACCTCCTTCCAGAAGGCTCCCTGAGGTGCTTGCTGATGCAAGTCTAATGGGAAGATATGAATTCAGGAGCAGTGGTGGAAAGGCAGAGGGGGGAAAGGGTCTCTGCTCACCCACAGAGATGTATCAACCCTAGTTCCGTGATTCTCAGCCACCCACTTGACCATGGCCTCCTGCTTGAGCTCCTTTGGCTCAGATGCCTTCCCTACAAAAGGAAGAAAACAGGGCCTGCCTCTTTGGTGATAGTGAATGCTGAAGGAGATAATTTATGCAACCAGAGTAGAAGCCCAGTGGAGGAAGGTAGATAGTAATGTTTTCTTGGTTAGCTCTTCACCTGTCAGCCATGGTGAAGAGGAAAAGCTTTTAGGTGGCACTTGTGTCTTAATAAAGGGCAGGTGACCAGATGGCAAGAGAATTGCACTTCCTCTTAGTTCTGAGCTTAGCAGACTGGCCCAAAACACCTCCCATCAGGAACATGGGGCTGTAGGCACACAGGGAGCGCAGAGGGGGCTGAGGAGGTATGTGCTGATGTGCATAAGCCACAGTCGAGCAGGTAAAAGATGAAGAATTCGCACAAAGATCTGCTGGTTGTGGTCACCCCAACCTGATCAAGCCCAGCTAAACCCTCATGGCCAAATGCTCTCACCAGCGCACCCTGAAATTCCCTGAGCCCACCTGCGTGACCTGTGCGGTGTGAGAACCAGGGGCCTGCCCCTCTGTCACAGCCCCCTGGGGAAATCTTGGTGGCAGGGAGCCCAGCCACCCCCTCCCCCAAAAGAGGGAATAGTAACACTGCGATGCCTCCTGTGTGCTAGGTGCTGTGCTAAGTACATAGCCCACAACAGGGCAGAATTATTAAGCCCTGTTCTGTACTCTGTGAGAACACAGAGGCTCAGCGAGATGGAGTCACCTGCCCAAGGTCACGCAGCCAAGGACAGGGTAGGGCTGGCTGGGTGTGTGCTCAAAAGCCCAAGTTCTTAGTACAACCTCTGGGGTAGAGGAAGTCCTGGGGCCAGGGGTCCAAGGCAGGCTAGCCTGTGAGGTGAAAGAAGAAGCAGGTGGTATGTTCTGTCCAGGCCCTCCTGCCAGCCCGGGAGTCCTATAGGAGCCCGCTATGTGGCCAGCTGGCATCCTCCTGCCCACTTGTGATGGAGGAAGGCTGAGGTCAAGATAATGGGCATCATTTGCCCAAGTCATATATTGAGGCAGGGAGGGTGGTAAGGTAGAGTCCAGGCTGTCCACAGCATGGGAGTGAGAAACATAAGTGGATGCCTCTGCCTGGAGGGCAACCCAGGTTCTATCACCACCAGGTTCTCCCTCAAGCGCAGGAAAAGCAGAAAAGGTTCAAGAGTTCCAAGGAAATGGAGCTGATGCGTATCAGGAAAGGGGTGCTGGGGCACGCTTCCCCGGGGCATGGTGGCTATGGTGGGGGTGGGCAAGGTCACTAAGGCCTCAGAGCCTCGGTTTCTCCACCTGGGATATGGCTACATACCTTTGCCTTTCTGGGTGTTGTGAGGAGAGAAGAAGGAAAGTGGGGGCCAGAGAGTCCATCAGATGCGGGAGGTCTCTGTGCATAATGGGCCCAGGGCTCCCATATCACCCTGGGAGGCCCCCAACTGGGGCAGGGACTACCCAGGGCAGGCAGGGTGGGGCTTTACTGTACAAATGAGAAGGGTACCCAGAGAGGCTTAGGAGGCGGCCCAAGGTCACAAAGGGGGTCAGCAGAGGTGAAGAGGGTAGGGCTACCCGACCCTCACTGCAGCTTTGAGAGGTCGGGCTTATTTTGTGGGGAAGGAAACTGAGGCCTAGAGAGCTAACTTGAGTTCCCTGGGTAATAGTGTGATTGAGGTGTCACTGGAGCCCTCACTTCCCCAGCTCTGGGGGACAGAGTTCCCACCCTATGGCAGGAGGAACCGTCTCCTCCCCTTTACAAGGAAGACTCTGCTGCTATTTCCACCACCAGCTCAAAACCTACCAAAAGAGGAGACTCCAAAAGAGGGGGGCTAGGAGAAGTACTCCAGGCTCTGCAACCCCTCCTGCCTGCAGCGCATTAACATTCAGAGCCAGCTGCTACCAGGCCTGACCTACTTCAGAGGCAGAGGGGGAGGAGGAAGGGAGCAGGAGGAAGAAGGGAGGGTGGAGGCAAGAAGAGAGGTGATACCTGGCTTGGGCTTGGAGAAGCAGCCACCCATGGCGAGTTGCTGGAGGATGCGTGCGGAACAGGTGCACAGGTGATGGGCTATGGGAAGCCCAGAGTGCCCTGGTGGGGGGCTGGACCTCCTGCAGCCCTTAGCGATGCGAGAACTGCCATCCCAGCTGGAGCTGACTCACACACCTGCAGGGTAGACAGAGAGGGGCATCTATGGAAACCACTGGGGTGTGGGGGTAGAAGGACAGAGACAGACTTGCAGGGCTTCTGGAAGAGGCCCACATTTGAGCTGGGAACCAGCTGACATTCAGTTGTAGGTAAAGGAGCTGGGTCCCAGAAGAACAGGATTTGGAGGTCATCTCCCCTTTAAGGGCCCCCAGGTTTAGCACCCCTTTCTCACTCCCCTCTCCACTTTTGCGTGGACAACACCAGTGCGGTCAAAGGCGCCCCTCTGTCAAAACCTCAGCTGCCCTTTAGTTCCAGCCCATAGCTGTGTCGTCCAGGAAACCCTCCTTGCTACCCCTCAAGATTTCACAGCCTAGATACCCTAGGACCTTCTATTCTTCAAGGAGACTTGGGGGTCAAAACTGGGGTCACCTTGTGAAGATCAGAATCCTCCTCGTGGTCAGTTTTCTCCTTCCTACAATGGGAGTGACATTTAGGTCACCCTGGCGCCGATCCCCACTGTGGCTGGCAGCCCCTGGGTGCCCACCTCCGCCAAGGACAGCCACTGCTTCTTGCTCCCAGTTCAGCAGTGGACCGAGGCTGCCTGGCCCTGGGAGGCAGGGCAAGGGGGGCAGGGGTGCAGGAGGCCGCCCAGCCTCCACCCCCTACTCTCAGTGAGAGTGGTGGTGAGGAGGGGCTGGAGGGGGATGGGGTTGGGCCAGTCCCCTGGTGCCCAGGGAAACCCAGCTCCATGGTGAATGAAAGTGGGCGGCCAGCCCGGGCCTGATGGGGTTGGGGTAAAGGGTAGGCAGGCACACAGCCCTGGCTTCCCTCCTTCCCCCTTAACAAAGGCCCACTTCACAAAGGCCCCTGGTGCTGTGATCATGCCCAACATCAGGTGGAGAACCTGAGGTGCCAAGGGCTTGTCAAGTTCCGACAGCAGGTAGGGCATCAGGGTGACCTCCCGGCCCTCTCCCACCTTATTTAGTTGCACGAAGGGCAGGGATCCAGGAAGCCCCCTTATCACTCTGAAGCCCTAGTAACCATCAGGCTGGGAGAGGGGCCATCTGGTCAACAAAGAGATGCCTGGAGCGAAGGAGCCCTCAAGATCTCAAGGCCCTTCAGAAGATGCAGCTCATGGACTGGACTTTGGAAGGCCCAGGACAACGGTGAAGCTGCTGTGTTTACAGCAACCTCCCCCAGTCCAGCCCACGGTTTCCCCTGAAAGTCTTCCTGAAGACTGACTCAAGGAGGTTTTGAGGACCATTGGTCTTGCCTGGGTCCCAGCACGGGCCAGGTGGGTGCCTGAGAGCAATGGGGCCAGAAGATGGAAGGAAAGGCTGGGGAAGGAATGCCTGACACCTATCTTACCTGCCCTAGAGGAACCTGATCTCACCTTGCCTTACAGGCAAGGGAGAAGGCAGTGGCATCAAAGGCCACCTGCGTGGACCCATGCTCCTTCCCCAACTTGTCACCAAGACAGGTCTGCAAAACTCAGTGATTACCTGCCCGGCTTCCCCCTGGTCTGGGCACAAAGGCACCCCTCCCCAGATCCTGGCTTCACTTTGGCTCAGCCCAGGCCCCTTCCTTCTTGCTGGGCTGCAGGCTTCATCCTCTAGGACATAGACCCTGGAAAGATGGGACCCTGACTTGCTATGGGGTGCCTGTCTTGGCTGTTCTCTCTTCCCCAGTCTCTAGCCCCTCCAGGACCTTGGTCCTAAAAGGAGATTCGCAGGAGACAGACTTCTCCTGGCCTAACCTGTACTGCACTATGCTGGCCTGGAGCCCTTCTGCCTCCTGCAGGCCCAGATGCCCCCCCACACCCCCACACTCAAAGGCAAAGATCCTTGCCAGGGACACAGCAGGAGGCGACCCCAATTTTTTTTCAGAGAGCTATCCCATGCCCGCAGGCGCCCAGAGCTGAATGAAAAGTTATAATGGTCCAGGAGTGCTCATTGCCCACCAAGAGGCTATGTCCTGTCCCACCAACATCCTTCCCAGGGCTCCTCTGGTGCAGAAACCTGTCCTTACCATGCCTAGACTCCCCCTCATCCCAGTCATCACCAAGGTTCCCCAGGTCCTTTCCATAGGCACCAGGAGAGCTGCTGCCCATCTTGGGCCCTCAGTCGCTTCCAGCCTTCCTCAGGGTAGTGCCTGAACTCCTCGGTCCTGTATTCAAGTTGGGGGGAGGGGCTCAGCTCCCTCACCTCCTCCCCCGCCGGGCCCCCTCGCCCATCTGTGCACTCTCCCTGCCTTTGCACGTGCAGCTCCTGCCATCCAAGAAGCCCTTTCCTACAGCCTTCCAAGCCTTGTCCGGGTCCCCCACAAACCCAGACGCCCCAGGCCCGAGGGGGAACTTGTAAGCAAAAGGGGTGCAGTGAGGGCCCGGAGAGGGAGGGAAAAAGAAAGAAGGGCGCTCCTGCCCGGGCTTCTCCCTCTCCCTTGGGCTGCCGGCCCCGGGTCCGAGACCCGCCAGCGCTGGCCAGCGGCGCCGACCGGAGCCGGCGGCCAAGTCAGGGTGGCAGGGTCGGGGGACCGGAGCCCCACGGGCCTGGGTCCCTGGGGCGGGCGCTCACCTGGGCTCCGCGCGGGTCTCCACTCTGGAGCCGCCTGGGGGCGCCGCGGGCGCGGGCGTGTGGGCTGGGGAGCAGCGGGCGGGGCGGGGCCGGCGCTGCGGCGACACTGCGGCCGGCCCGGAGCCCGCGAAGCCCGGCCCGCCCCGCCCGCCCCGCCTTGCAGGTGGGGACGGCCCGGGGCCCGGGGCCCGCCCGCGGCCGCGGAGTCCCGGAGCAAGTCTCGGATCGTGGGGAGGCAGCTGGGGGCCCTTTTGGCCAGGGACACCCCCGCCGGGTCTGGTTTCCCGGGATCCTCTCAAGCCGAGGGACGCCTGAGTCACACACCGAATCGGATTCTTTTCCCTTTTCTTTCTGTCTTAAGTTTCCCAACGATATGAGAACTTGAGTTAATCGGAGAAAACTGCCCAAGAAAGAAAATCCAGACCCCTCAGATACCTTGACCTGCTTTTGGGGTTCATTCTCCCAGGCCTCCTGGCTCCTAGCTCTCCCCCCACACAAACACTTCTATTTTAAATTACATGTTATTACATTTTCTCTTTTCTACCCGCCATGATACCAGGAGAACTTCCTGAGTCCCCATAAGTCGTGGTGCATCCCAGTGTTGTGTTCCCTCCTCCAGGAAGCCTTCCTGACCTGCCTTCCGGATCAGACCCTGATATTGTGGATCTTGACTCCTCTGTGCTGACAGTCCTAACTGTCCAGATCTCTGTTTTGGGTCAGGTATAGTTTTTCACTGACACAGAACTCAGTGACTAAGTGGAAAACGAATGGCAGACCCATTTCAGGAAAGTGATGTCCCCTCTACCACTAAACACATCCGTTGTCGGACCCTCCAACTTTTGTCCGATTATTGCTCTTTTGAGAGCTCGTGTTGGGTCCTCTTCTGCATCATCTTTCCCCATCCTAGGCCTTACTCTCCTTTTGTAAGAATGACAATAACGACAGCAACAGCAGCTCCTGTGCCAGCCCAATCCAGACTTGAGAGGCAGTGCTGTATTTATCCCACCTCACCCAGCAGGATGAAATATAACTCCCCTTCCTCATTTCACAGACAGGAAAGCCCAGGGAGCTGAGCCTCACCTGGAGTCAAGACTAGGGTCTGCACAAGTCACACTTAGGCAGGTGGGCAAGTGTGGGGGCCAGACCTGGAGGGTGGCCATGTATGGCTTCCACAGTGGGGATGTTGTCACTGACAGGAGAAGCTCTGAATTGGCAGAGGGCAGTTTGGGCCCCCTTCAACAATGTGCTGACCCTGAAGCCCCAGACCCACTCTACTCCCCGCGCTCCCTAGTGAGGAAGACAGTGTGCCCCATAAATAACCATGGCTGTGGCTTCACAGGCACTTATTCCTTTAACCTTCACAAAGCCTCAGGAGGAAGTTTCTATTTGTATTACGTCTGTTTTCCAGACAGGGAAACTGAGGTTCAGAGAGGTTAAGGACTCCCCAAAGTCGTACAGCTGAAGAGTGGCAGACTGGGAGCTTGAATCCTGGCAGGCTAGCTCTACCGTGCTGTGCAAAAGATGAGCATAGGAGGAGTGAGGTGTGCCAGGCTCAGCCAATGCCGCGGGTTCCCCAGTGAGAGTTCCGGTCCTATTCTCTGACCCACAGTCAGTGAATTTCATTGTCCCAGGTTTCTTGGGACAAGTGGGGATAACTGCAGTGCCCACCCTGAGGCCACCCCCAGGATACCATTGTTACTGGAAACCAGCCACTTCAGCAGCGGGAGCCAGCAGCAGCAGTGTTCTCTCGCCCTGCTGCTCCACCACAAGTCAGTTGTGGCAGTTGGTCCTCAAGCCCCTACCCCCCAACCCTCAACCCAGCAACCCCCTTTTTTATGCAATAGCCCTTTTATTCTTACTTCCATCAGGGAAAGGACCATTCAGGTGTGAGCTATGAGTTGATTGGTGCTAAATGGTCCAGCAGCCACAGGATTGAAAAATGGTCCAATCAGACTTGTGGGTGTGGCACCCTGAAAGAGGATGTAAGTCAGCATTAGAGGGAGCTGGGGAGGATTCTGTTCCAGCCTCCAGACTCTCTGTTCCAGTCTCCAAACTCTGTTCCAGCCTCCAAACTCTGTTCCTGGCCTCTGAGGAAAGAGGAAATAAGAAGGACCAGAAGCCAACATCCAGTAGCCAACCTCCGAGGAGGGAAGAGAAGCCAAAGACCAGAGAAGCCCTTGACTGGCCTCCAGTCCTGTCTCTAATATGAGCTGAAAGGGGCATCAAAGGCTGCCGGTCTGGTGTCACAAAAAGCTGTTAACACTTGGTGTCTCTGACACCTCCTCAGGGGGACCAGTAGTGACCATCACTACTGGCCAGTGCTGTCGGCACTCCTGGTGACAGGTGACTAGTCCTCTGCTTATACTTCTGGTGGACATTATCTGGGTGAGAGAGCCGGCCATTTGTGGCTACAGTAAGCTCTTTGTTTCCCCTGTATGTAAAATAAACCCCATAGTTGTTGTTCCCAGGGCTTGAGCTCTCTTACAATTGTGTGCACGGGTGAGGGGCTGTTTGGTGACTCTTTTGTCTTAGAACCTGGGCAGATGGATAGTCATTCTGGCCTATCCTGGTATCCTGCCCCTATCACCTCTGTTTCACCATGACTGTGCAGAACCATACATGGGACGTGGAGAACAGTCAGGATGTAGTGTGGGTCTATTGGCCTTGGGGTGCCAGAGATGAGATGTGGGACAGGACAGTGTGGGGGTTGTAAAGAGTTCAGTGATCTGGGGAGACACCCTGGCACAGGGCCAGTGTAGCCCTATCATAGGTAAATATTTTGTGGCACTCTTGCCCCTGGGGACTGGGTTCCAAGCGCCTGCTGCTCCATAGTGGGGCTGAAATTGCAAGATCCTCAAGGAGCAAAACCTAAAACCAATGGAAGGCTAGGAATGCTGATGGCCCTCATATTTGGGGGTGATGCATGTGAACAAGGAAATATAGGGAGACCCAGGAGGGTTCTGAACCTTGGGCAATCTGAGGTCTTGGTATTGTCCTAAGGATGATTCCGGAAAGGTAATAGCACCCATCCCAAATGCTTTAACAATACCAAATGGGGTGATAGCAAAATAGCAAAGAGGCAAATCCTATCCTACTTTGAACAGGGGTGGCTGAGAGCTCCCTAGCTCCAGCAGATACCCTAAAGGCAGGGAGAGGGTTGCCAACATCTGAGAAGCAAGTGTATGGCTGAAGAGAGGGACTGATGCCTGGGTATGCCCAGTTCTGGAACATCTCCATCATGCAGTAAGCCTTTCCCTGTCCTCCTCACATCTACCCTCTTGTCAGTTTCCCCTGTTCCCCTCTTCCCTTAGCCTAGAGTCTCCATAGATTTTTTTTTTTTTTAAGGTCAGAATGTGAGACCTGGTAATATGTAACATTGGGATTGACACTGGGGCCCTCTGGCGGCTAGTGTGAGGATCAGCAGGGTCTTCTCTGAGTTTTTGGGTTGAGAGCGGGGGTTGAGAATGGGGACGTCTTCCCTGCTAGGTTTAGGTAGATTTTCAAATAGGGAGACCTAAGTTTAACCAAGTAATCCCCAGGAAATGTTTGGGGGGATGATACAGCACAGCCAATACCTGAATGGAGATCAGATGAGCTAAGGGAGAAGAGAGGAGAGGTGCCAACAACTACCTGATGATTTATTTATTGAATATATTGGAAGAAGAGGTTGGAGTATCTCCAGGTTAGGGCGCATGGGCTGAGTCTCCCACCTCCCACCTCATCCCTGACTTCCTTCTGGCTATTGCAACCCAGCATCTCCCCAACCTAGCTTGTTTGACACAACCTGACCACTGTGTCTTCAATACCCTCTGGGCTGTCTGGAATTCCCCCACTCTTCAGAGACCAGCTCCAGCTCCTGGCTACATCTACAGCTCAGCCATAGGCCTCTAATATGATGGTTTTCTGCCAGCACTGTCCAGTTACCAGGCTTTGAGGAAACCAGTTCTAATTCCAATCCTCATGGAGGAATGGAAAGGTCAGGGGGGCTTTACTAGGTGGCTGGAGTAGAGGACAGCTCTGTAGGAGTTCACCAGAGAAGGGAAGTCAGGCAGAAGGAATGTATGGGCAAAGGTAAAGTGGTAAGATGGTCAATTCTGGAACTCAGAGGTACCAGCCCAATCTGGCTTGAGTGCAAGGTTCTCAGCAGTGGCCTAGCAAGGAGGGATATCAAGGAGGAACTTTTTCGCTGCAAGTATCTGGCCAAAAAACAAAACAGAAAACAGCAACTAAAACTGGCATTTGGAGTGGAAAGGCCAGAAGGGGCCAGGAAATCAGGAGAAACCTGGGCTGAGGACTGAGCCAGAGTTAACCCAAGGTTGGAGGATATCCGGCGACCCTTAGACATAAGGATTTTCTGTCATCTAAAGATTAGCAATAGGGCCTCCTTCATGGCCTAGGGGTTAAGTCTCAGCGCTGTCACCACCAAGGCCGGCCTGACTTCGATCCCTGGCCAGGGAGCTAACCCACATATGGTGCACCGACCTCTCCAGTCTCGCCCGCTGTTCCCCTCAGCAGTGTATCTCAGTCAATCTGCCTGCTTTGTTCCCTACTCTGTCTCTGGTGAATCCTCTCACCTCCCGCAACTCTGGCCTATACCCCAGTTCTTCTACACAAAAATAAATAAAATCTAAGAAAAAGAGAGATTGGCAATAACTTTCACCCCCAGTGACAGATGGGCTAGCATAAGCTACCTTAGCCAGAGAGTAGAATATTGTTCAGCCACAAAAAGGTATCTATTGGATGTTTGCACAAATGTTATAAAATTTTTCTTATAAATCACTGGTGAAAGTATAAACTGATTGCTATGTGGCCTTTGGCTAAGATCCAGGATAGTATTATGTTCTTATCAGTTTAATATCTATAATACATCCTCTCTTCAAGGACAGTACATTAAATCAATTTTTGAAGCAGGGAGATGGAATAGAAGCTAGCTATGTTCATTGTACACATTGACCTGGTATCGCAGCAGCTCCTGGAATGATGTACCTCACTGAGGGAATTAAAAAAATAAAAAGTAAGTGGAAATCGAGGCAGTCCCTACAGAAGGCCATTTGTCAACAGCATTCATAAGTGCAAATGCCCAAAGCCTGTGATTCAGCAATTTCACTCAGGAACTCATTTTATGTTGTTTTTTTTTTAAGCCTATAATGTCTCCACCCCTCCCCCTTTTTTTAAGGTTTATTTTATTTATGCATCCAAGAACTGGAGCATAGGCTAGAGGTGTGTGTGTGTGGGGGGGGGTATGTGTGAGAGGACCCACCAAGGGCAGAGTGGGGAACAGAACAGGCAGATTGACTGAAATACACTACTGAGGGGAGCAGCAGGCAAGACAGGAGAGGTCTGCTGTGCATTGTGGGTTAGCTCCCTGGCTGGGGATCAAACTCATGCTGCAGTGGCTGCCCATAGTTTCATTGTGCTGAGACTTAACCCCTTGCACCACCAGTGAGGCCCTCAGGAACTCATTTTAATGTACCTGACCACCTGAGCTTGGAAAGGACCTACATGCCTATCAACACTAGATTGTTAAATGAATGACAGTACATCCACCACATGAATACATACAGCAGTGAAAAGAACAAGGACTCAACATGCTGATTCATAACAATCTCTTTTATAGGTCAGAAGGTGAGACTATTGCAATATCTAATATTGGGATTGACACTTGGATCCCCTGAGGGCCAGTCTGAGGGTCAACAACAGATGGGGAAATAAATCAAGGTGCAGAACAGTAAATAATCTATGCTACCCTTGTGTAGGAAAAACATTGTAAAAGAACACAGGTGGATTTGCTTTTATGTTAGAGAATAATTCTGGAAATATATATAATAAGCTGGAAGCAGGGAGATTCTGGAGAGGGCTGTCACTGGGTGTAGGGAGGCCTTTTATTGGATATTTCATCTTTCCAAACTGCATCCAATGAATGTGTCCCCTCCAATTCTGATGCTAAAGTTAAATTTCTCAAACTCCTCCTAGGGGTGTGTGGGGTGGGGGGCGGTAGGGCGGTGGTAGCTCAGGGCAGATTGCAAACCGCCTTTCCCGGAGGGCTGGCATTGGGTTTGGTTCCTTCTCTTCTTTTCTGGTCACACAGTCTGACGCAGCCCTGCTCAGGAACCTCCTCTCTCTCTCTCTCTTTTTTTTTTTTAAGATTATATTTATTTATGCATACAAGAGCTGGGGTACAGGCCAGAGATGCAGGGGGTGAGAGGATTCACCAGAGACAGAGTGGGAACAGGCAGATCTACCGAAGTACACTGCTGAGGGGAGCAGCGGGGGAGTCAGGAGAGGTCTGCTGCGCCATGTGGGAAGCTGGGGTGGGGGGTGGGGGGGAGGGGTGGCGGGGCGGGGGGGAATGAAACTCGTGCTGCAGTGGCTGCGGACAGCTTCATAGGCTGCGTCTTAACCCCTTGTGCCACCAGGGAGGCCCAGGCCCCTGCTCTTGACATGGGCTCTGGACACGGGCCACTGCCTTAGCCATTCGCTCCACCCCTTCGCCTTCCTTCTCCCCCGGTACTCGCCCCCCACTTTAGCGATTAGCCAGCCGGGGTGCTCCTACCACTTCCTTCCGAACTACAAACTCGCAGGTTACTTAGAGCCAAAGCCCACGGAGACCCTGGAAGGGTAGAGTCGTCAGAAGAGCAGCGCTGACAGCCCCGGGGCCACAGTCCTGTCTCCCGGTTCCCGCTCCTCAACCCACCCCACCCGACCCCTCGGCCCGCCATTCCCGATCGCTACAGCTTCCCTCGCGCTCCGGGAGAGCGCAGAGCTTCTCGTCCCTCATCGCCCCCCCGCGCGGGGCCTCCGCTCCCTTCCGCGGTGCCGGCCCTCACCCCCTCGGCCGTCCCGGTGCGCCGCGGGCGGCCACCGACGGCCCCGGCCAGGTGCGCGGGGTCTGGAGCACCGGGAGTCGGCGCTGTCCTGCCGGCGGGCGCCGAGGCAGTCGTCGCGGGAGCGGGACGGCGAAGCGGCGGTCCCGGAGGCCGGGGACTGGGCCGCACGGGTGAGCGCCACGGCAGTGCGCCTGAGGGAGCAGGTTCCCCGTCCAGTAGGGGGGGGGCGGGGAGCGCGAGCCGCGGGGGTCGGGCCGCGCGCGAGGCGAGGATTCGGCTCCCGGGTCGCGCGACCGGCTTTGGTCCCAACCCCGACGGACCCGGCTTTGTTCTAACACCAAGCGGACGACTAGCAACAGCTGCTAGGTCCAGGGCTCCCAGGGGCTGGCGGCGCGGGCGTGAGGGGATTCGCGGGCACAGTTCTTTGCCAACTAAGCTGCCTATCAAGCCCTCTGGAGTTAACAAAGCAACTCCTAAGTCAGAACCTGGGGCAGGACCCGTGCAGCGCGGAGGGGGACGACGATACTGATGACACCTGAGGGGCTCCCGGGCAAGTCCTCAGTCCCAGTAAGAAGCAAGCGCGGAACGGCCAAGGCAAAGCCAGGAGCTTCCCAGCCCTTGCCCTGAGCTGCTCCCTTAGCCTGGGTTACTTTTACTTCCCCTTCCCTTTCCTTGACTGCTAGTGTGGCTTCTTGAATCCACCTGGGCTCCAGCGCACCCAGCGCACCCTTACCTTCCACCCTACCGCTGTAAACATCACCAAGTCTATACCCAGAGCTTTCCTGGGCTAGGCCACAATAGCTGTGTTCCCAGCTGACAGCTGAGCCAGAGAAGCAGGGTGTGCAGGGAAGAGCAGGGCCAAGTCAGGTCTCCAGAGGGAGCTGGGTGTGAGAAAGAGCCTCAGTGAAAATCCCCCAAGTGTCATGGTTTCTGATGTCAGGTGATGTTTCAAGACACCTGGCCCTGACCTCTGCCAGAAAACCAACCTGGGAAGCAGGTAGAGGAGGCAGGCTCCAAACCCAGGGGCACTGTAGAGTTTGCCCAGTAAATAGGAACCCAGGCCCTAATTGCTGACCAAAATAAACCTTTTCAAACTTAAACGCATTTCATAGGTATGTCATTGTTTCTTCCAGAATGATTTGACAGCTTTGATATTTTCATTCAAGACAAACTTTTCTCACAAGCTCTGCAGAATCCTCAAAGTAGGAGCTAAGAAGTGCCTTTTAGCAGCATAGTTCTGTATAAATATGGATCTGTGTACTTCCCAAAACTCACTTTTCGGAGGTTACAGCAAAATCTCTCAATACACACATCGGTATGGGAACAGGGTACATGCAGCTGAGGGGCTATCAGTGTGAGCCCCTCATGGAAGATAGTGGGCCTCCCCACTTTAAGATGTCCACCTGAAGGTCCCGGAGTTCATCAGGAGGGTCATTCACAGACAGATTTAAGAGAGCTGTTTGCTATCACATCCTGACAGGATGAGTCTGTTTTTCATGTCTCCTTGAAACCCATCCAACTCTGGCTAGCTTGTGCTAAACAAGTAACAGAAGTCTTCCGGTATGGGTGCCTTGAAGAAAATTTTTCCTCGGCGTTACACTGCATGTCAACTGTTGGCACATTCTTAGAATGTGGATGCACCAGTTCCACTGTGCTCATTGGGAGTCAGTGGTCTCTCTTTCATAGGGAGCCCTGAGTGTGGGAAAGGGTCAACACAAGACCCCACTCTGTTTTGTGGTCAGCAGTGTGGTTGGGGCTGGGTCGCAGGATGCATCCTCAAAGAAGCAAATATCTCACACATGTTTCACCTGGTGTTGAGCTGCTCGCTGGTGGGAGCTGAAGGCCTCCAGGCACTGAGGAGACACCAAAACAGCAAAGCTGCCGCTGCCACTGGCTGATACAAGTTTTATTGAGACAAGGTACAAACAGGCCATGGAAATAAGGGCTCTGATGCTGGGACCAGTAACATAAAATGGAATACAAAAATAAAAAGGCACTAATCTGTTAAGAAAAGACACTCCATGTATTCTAAGAATATAAATCATTTAATACTGTTATTTTTATAGCACAAAATAAAACAAGCTATTATCCTCAAAAATAATTTTAAAAGCTTACACAGAAAATATTGCCTGAAGTTTAAGATCTTTAAGTTACAGGTCAAAAGTTTTTGTGTTCTTTTTTAAAACACACAGTGAAGACCGTCTAGAAGCAAGGCCACTGTTCTTCCTGCAGAGACAACGACCCTGTCTCAGAGAACTGTTTTTCTACTCCTTTAAAATATATAACTAGCTCAGTGTCCACACTGACAGCAGTTACCAGGGACATAGTTGTCTGATCCCAGAGGGTGAAGTTTGAGGCAGAGCTCAGTGGTGTCCACAGAAAGCATTAGTCTTAGGTACTGTGTTAAAACAATCAGGAATTGACTCATTTGAAGAGGTTAATGAACACAATATTAGGATTAAATTATAAACACCTAGCACAAAACACATGATCCCTTTTCAAAAATAAAATGTTCATATTCCTCTGAGCAAACATAAGAGCAGTGGCCATCTGTCTTGGCCTGCCTTGTCTGTAAACAGCTGTAAAAAGAAAGTTGGCACAGTGCCTGCGATTCTTGAGCTCTAAGGGGGGCAGCTGTCCTTCCCTCCTTTGAGTTTTCCAACCATGAATACAGAGGTGCCTCTTCTAGGCAACCAGTCATCAAATGGCAGCCAATCAATGTGCCCTCTCCATTAATCCTTGTTATCAGGCAGCACCACACCACACAGAAGTGACAAGGATGACTTCTGTGATGGAGGTCATTCCCAGGGTAACTAGGTTTTTAGTCAAACTGTCAAGCGCCCTTTAGTACTTAATTCATTCACTTCCCAAGTGAGTTATTTTAATACCCAAATTTTTCTTAAACCACACATAGCAGAGCAGAGCAGAGCAAGTAGCAATTATGAACGATCTGAAATGGGAATCCACCCAGGAGGGAAGGCAGCTCAGGTGAGTCACATCAATTTATGAAGCACAGATCTCTTTCCAGATCATTGGGGAACCCAGGTATAAAGCCCCTCCCCCCCTTTTTTTTTGTATATTTAGTGTGAAAAAGAATTTCCCAGCCTGATTAAAAACCTAAGGTTCTCAGTCAAAAAGGTACTACTTTTGGCACATATCTGGACAGTTCAGAACTCACTTTATTTTGTGCTACGTTTTGGACAGCCCCAGACATATACACAGGCTGAAGGAATAAGCAGACTTCTTATGAAGACAAATCTAGGTTTATGGGGTGTTCTTATTCTGAAGTCTTCCACATGAGGTGGACCTTGCTACTAGTCAGAAAACAGGCTGAAAGGAAACCTTGTCTGCCATACACTTCTTGTGCTCTGAAATCACCCCTTCATAACCACTGTCACCAAAAGGTGCGAGCCTCTCTGCTGAATTTAGCTTAAAAAGGCCTTAGGGCTTGTGCCCTCTTTGAGCATGGCACATATATATTCCTCCTCCTGCCACATCAGGTCGCTGGTCGCTAGGTAATCACCATTTCCAGCCAAAGTGCAGGGAACCTGCCACAATGTCACATGTTGGGGGTGGCAGGCTGGGCTCAAACTCAGAACAAGAGGCAAATGCATGGACAGGCACTGTCTGAGCAGAAGGTGGTTACAGTTTTCACTGATCAGGAGGGGGCCGATTTTTTTTCTTCTTCGCCCCAAGGAAATTTCCACAGACAGGCAGCCACAGTGGTTTTTTCTCAAGTGACCATTAATTTTGTCATCAAGATTTTTTAATATGGCAGCTACCTGCCTGATGGAATACTGATTTAAAGATAACCCCCCCCCCAAAATAGCTGATGAGCAGTTTCTGTCTTCATGGTACATCATTCTAAACCTCAAAACCTATGTGGCTCTGGAGACAGGACCATGGTTTATAACTTGATGTTCAGTAAATGATAGTTACTAATTAGGTTGTTGCTACATTTCTAGGTCTGCTATATTCATTCTGAGCAGAAGCCTGTCTTTCACCAGTGTTCAGAAAGGAAACAAGAATGCATAAAGGTTCCAAAATTCTAGTCTGCTACATGCAGATTAGGGTCAGGTCACACATCTGTACCAGCTGAGTTGTATGAATAGGCCTCTTTTTAGCTGACAAGGAAACCTGAACATCACACTGATCAACGGTTAATGGTGAATCAGTTAATGGGTCTCCCTATCACTAAAACATCAGACATCAATTTCATTAACCAATTTTCAAAACTTGCATTTTTTTTCTTTGCTTGGAAGCATGGTGGATGCCTACACTGTGGATGCAGTATTAAGCATCACTATCTTTTCTCTGGCAGCCTTGTGAGTCTGAGCGGAGGCAGGGAGGAATGGGCTTCAGTCTATAAACAAACTCAACTTTTTAAAGAAATTATAGTCCTGCACTTTAAAAGGAGGTGCACTCACTGACACACTGGGCAGAAAATGGGCCAAGTACTCCCTGTCACTGGCAAACAAGGTAAGCAAAGGTTTTCCCCAAGCCGCCCCCTCCCCCAACACACACAAACGGATGCTTTTGAAGACAATGTAATCCAAGAGACTGCACACAGCCTGGCACACTGGGACTGATGGACTTTTTTTGTGTTGTTTTCTATGGCAACCAAGACAGTAAGGCCTCAGCTTCAGAGTTGATTTTCATATTCCTTTAGTTAGAGCAGCTTCAGTTTAGAAGCTAAGAGGCACGTGTTATTCCTTGTAATATCACAGAAATCCAACCTGCTACTTAAAAACTGTTTAGAACACAAAAATTCTAATTGGTGTTCTAAAACCATATGAAAACGAAATTCAGATCTTGGGAGTTTAAGACGAAATTCCCTCTTCTTTAAGGTTCACTTTCTGATCTTCAAAGGAAAACAAAATGGCGACCGAGGCACTGCTTTGTGGAACAGCAATGTGCAGTGTCTTGCCATGGCCTCAAGCTTTCTCTGATGGACATGACAGAATCAGTCTCAGTACAAAGAGCAGTGATGAGAAGGAAGATCCTTTGTTAACTTCTCTCCACTTGTGTGCTTCCACCAGTATTTCCAGTTTATGCTCCAAAGAACTCTACAATCGGCTACTCTTTGACAATACAACTATGATACAAATGCCGAGGCAGCCACTGTGTGCATTCCAAATGTGTATGACAGATGGCCAGTCTGTAAAAAGCTGGATGCCGGCAATGCAGTGTAATTTGCCTATTAGAATACTTTCCCATTTCAAAGGAGACTGTGGCAACGAAGCAGCAGGAAATGGGGCAACAGCAATCACTCATTTTCATCCGGGTTTTGAGGGTCAAAGATTTTGACGTGTGTAAAGGGGAAAAGCCCTTTTCGCCCATTCACCTCGCCTTCCCACTGGCCATTTATATTCATCCTTGTAACTTTCACAATGTCACCAACCTGTAAGGATACACAAAGAAGACAGAGTCAGCATTTTCTCTCCAAACTAAAGAAAAAGTTTACATAAAATTACACATACTATTCTACACAAAGGAAAATCAAGTGGTACCAAAGACATGAAGTACTACACCAAGAAATCCAGTGTTTTCCTCCTCAGCTGTGAGAAAGTGTTGTGAAGTAGCTTCTGAGCACCATCTACCTTCACCCCCCAAATATTGGTTACCAATTCCAGTAGAACAGAAGTGAACATGACTCTTAGAGAATGTCATGTGACACACAAAAAATCCACCTCTACCTTAATCCACATGGGCTGGAACTACTGTCACCAAGATCTCTCTCACCATTGCCAACTCCTCTGAGCAGCAGAGTTGTTTTCCTGAGCTGTCCATTCCTGTTCCTAAAAAGGCCCAGTTCTGAGCATCTTTTTAGGTCTCAACTGGAGGGTGGCAGGAATTCTATCTACTGCCACAGGACAGACACCAGTTAGTCAAGGGCTACTTTGCTCATGAAGAGGAAGGCAGGAATTTTGGAAGTGGTTTCCAACTTGTTCTGGAGACTCGCAGAGAGCTCTGGGAAGATGCTACAAAGGCCCAACAAATACCTGATTGGGGCCTCCCCGGTGGTGCAGCGGTTGAGCGCTGGGTTGCGAAGCTGCCCGCAGCCTCTGCAGCGCCGGTTCGATCCCCGGACCACCGGGTAAGGGTCCCACATGGCGTGCAGACCTCTCCTGCCACCCCCCTGCTCCCCTCAGCAGTGTACTTCATCAGTCTGCCTGCTCTGCTCTCCCCTCTGGCTCTGGTGAATTCCCTCACCCACCCGCACTTCTGACTGTACCCAGTGCTTGTATAAATAAATAAATAAATCTAAAAAAAAAAAAAGGAGAAAGATTTAAAAAATTAAAAAAAACAAAACAAAAAACAAACAAACAAAAAAACCTGATTGGGATTTCAACTTTTAACCTTGTATTTTATAAAGTCATAATTAAAAAAAAAACCAACAAACATCCTTCAAATATGCTATGGCCACTGCCACATATGGCCCTTCCAGCTGCTTTTCAGGTAGACTTTGCTGGACTGAAATTTCTTATATACATCTGATTGAAGATTGCCCCAAAAATGGCAAGGTAAAGGCTACAAGACATCCATCACCACCTGAAACAAAGGACATTCAGAAACAAGATGGATGCAGGGGCTGACATAAGATCACAGCTATCACTCATGTTATTTGCAATTTTGAGGGTCACTTTTTAACTGCCAACTTTCTTCTCAACTGCCTTTTAAAGTAATCCTTAACTTATAAAATTTGTATGTATAAAAAACTTTTTATCTGTCTTATCTGTGTGCATGCACGTTTTCTTTGGGGGGAAAATGGGTTTTCCATTAAAGCTACTGGTCTAGGATCTCAAAGCTGATAAGGCAACTTTATTTTAAAAAGAAGTTTTAGGGACGCCCTGGTGGCATGGGTAAAAGCGCTATCAAGCTATCCCCAACCACTGCACCACGACTTCGACCCCCAGCCAGCGAGGGACCAACCTACATGGCACAGCAGACCTGCCTTGCCCGCTGCTCCCCTCAGCAGTGTATTTTAGTAGGTGTCTGCCTGTTCTGCTCCCCACTCTCTCTGGTGAATCCTCTCACCACCCACACCTCTGGCTATACCCCAGTTCTTATATACATAAATAATTAAAAAAAAAAAGTTTTATTAATCTTCTCATGAAAAATCTGTACAGCCACCACATAGTCATTGCGGAATCTTTTACTTCTCTTTGCCAGCACCAACATTGGCCTTGCAGGACCCCCAACTTTCTTCATTTTGTTATTGTGTTCCTTTCACTGTTTTCTTGAGGCCTTTTCTCATATACAGGCCATGTCTTGTTTGGGTTCATTCTTCTTTGTGTAATCCAAGGAATTGTAAATCATGCCACTATCAGTTGTCTTATCAACATGGGCTCTAAATACAAAGATGACATCTGGAGTAGTCTTGTACATTTTAGCTATTTTTTTCCACAAATTTTTGTCTTAGGTACTGTTTGCATTCCCAGAGTGAAGGACATCAATAACCATTTGTTTCTGCCGAAAAGTGGTTAGTTGGTCATAATGTCCTAACAGTCAGGGAGGAAAAGACAGGCAACTTTAGAAGTCCACCAGCACACAGTTCTGCTCATGCAGGCCACCACCATCAGTGTGAAGCCACATCATCCCTTGTCCCAAATCCTCAGTGTTCACAAGCCTTGGGCAGAGTCATCTGCCATTCCTGGTTACTAAAGGAGGAATGTTTTTTTGAGGTGAATCCAGAGAGCAACTGTTTTTTTTTTTTAATAGAGGCATGTTATTTATTTATTTATTTATTTGTTTGTTTGTTTGTTTGTTTTGTTTATACATGCACTGGGTACAGTCAGAAGCGCGGGAGGGTGAGAGAACTCACCAGAGCCAGAGCGGGGAGCAGAGCAGGCAGAAGGACCAAAGTACACTGCTAAGGGGAGCAGCAGGCGGCAGGACAGGTCTGCGCGCCATGTGGGACCCTCCTCCGGTGGCAGGGGAGCAACTGGGGATCAAACCGGCGCTGCAGAGGCCGCGGGCAGCTTCGCAACCCAGCGCTCAACTGCTGCGCCACCGGGGAGGCCCAGAGAGCAACTGTTTTTTGAAGCAGATTCATTTATTTTATAAGCTGTGAAGGACTCAGGTAGAAACAACATAACCCAGTAATATTGTTTAAATATAAGGTTTAAGATGATGAAAAACCTCAAGATTAGATAAGCTCTAGACTCTAACACTTAACTCATGGTCCAAACAGGTCAGCCATTTTCAAGGAATCACCTAAAGGGGTGATAAAAGGGTTTGGAGATTTGTTGCTTAGGTGATTCTGACTACCTCAATACATGCCACCAGAAAGCTAACAACTCACACTGCAAAGAGCTGGGGGAAAGGACAAGAAAGATGGAGAAGGAAAAAGAACCCCTGTGGGAAACACTGCACATCAAGAAACCAACCTGTGGCCCTAGCTTTAAGAGCAGTTTCTACCTTCAGGTTCTCTTTTGGACATGTTATTACCCTTGATCTTTCACATAAATCCACCTGTAAGGTAGGCAGGGTAACACACCCATAAAAGGTAAGGCCCTCCCCAAGGTTACAGGGCGGTCTGTCATGAAGCAAAGGTACAAAGCAAGGGAGTTCTCAGTCCTGTACACCTGGACCTGGACCATTCGATCTCTCTTCTTGGACTCTTCTCTCTAAGTCACCCTCTGCCTTCAATGTCCTATCTTTGTAACTGCCCCTGTGAATAAAGACTGGCTGCTACGAGTTTTCTACCTTTTCATCCTCCATTCTTTTTCTTTTTTTAAAGATTTATTTATTTATTTATGCAAGCACTGGGTACAATCAGAAGCGCAGGAGGGTGAGAGAATTCACCAGAGCCAGAGCGGGGAGCAGAACAGGCAGACATCACAGAACAGCAGTGACGAAGTACACTGCTGAGGGGAACAGGGGCCAGCGGGAGAGGTCTGCGTGCCATGTGGGACCCTCGCCCAGTGGCCGGGGATCGAACTGGCACTGCAGAGACTGCGGGCAGCTTTGCAACCCAGCGCTCAACCGCTGCGCCACCGGGGAGGCCCCATCCTCCGTTCTTAATTGTTACGATTCTACTCTCACTGGGATGTACAGGACCCGGCCATATAGAACTACTTGTAATACCCCAAGTCTACTCAGAAATGGATGCAGTGCCAGCATTTACACAGAAAACAGCACTATTACCAAATGGAACTTCTTGCCTTGTGGGAAACTGGCTCCTTTTGAGCACTTGCCAAAATGAAAATGGAGAAAAAATTTTTTTGACTGTCAAGGGCTCCCTGGTTAGAACACAATATAAATTCAGGTTAAATATAATTTGTTTTGGTCTGAGTCCCTGTCTAAATTCTGACTCAGACTCCTTTCATTTAGAACCATAGTTCAACTCAACTGAAGGATGGCTGGTAAAGAGTTAACCTGTTAATTAATAACTAGATTTTATACAACAAAAGGTCTAAGATAAAAATTAAATATATTTTAGTGTTCAGATTTATGCAGTCAAATACTGTTTGAGATCTGTTTATGAGAAAGTCAACTATTAATTGCATGTATTTATGAATTAAATTATTTTAATTAAAAACTGACTCGATCTTGGGCCTCCCTGGTGGCCTAGTGGTTAAGTCTCAGTGCTATCACAGCTAGGCCTGGGTTTGATCCCTGGCCAAAGAGCTAACCCACATATGGTGCTGTAGACCTCTCCTGTCTATCCCGCTGTTCCCCTTAGCAGTATATTTCAGTAAATCCACCTGTTCTGCTCCTCATTTTGTTTCTGGTGAGTCCTCTTAATCCCAAGTTTCTGACCTACATCCCAGTTCTTCTACACAGAAGAAAAATTGAGTATCTCATGTCATTACAAGAAAAGATTTTATAAATATATATGGAGACGGACGTTAACTAGACTTATTGTAGTGGTCATTTTGCATTATAGTAGTCCTCTCCTTATCCAGTTTGGCTTTCTGTAGTTTCTAGCTACCTGTGATCAACAACAATCTGAAAATAAGTATTAGGTAAAATAAGCTATTTGGGGGAGAGAGGGGGAGGGCAGAAGATTCATATAACTTCTATTATAACAATTTCTATTAAATTGTTGTAATTGATATTTTATTATTGTTGTTAATCTATTACCATGCCTATCTTACTATTTAAACCTTATTATAGATACATATAGGAAAAAAACATTGTATAGAGTCACGTGCCAATTAACAGAAGCATCTTTATTTTTCTGGCAAGTCCCAAGTGGTTTTAGTACATGTGGAAACTATACAAAAGGTGGACCCAGTGAGGGAGGAAAATGAAAGCTCTGCAGCCCTGGTCAGTACACAGGGCCTTAGCATGGATCCTTCACCTGGAGAGCACTCAGAGGAGGGAAGAGCCCCAAATCCTAGCCTCTGACTGAGCTAGGTCCCAGGACGGAAGGGGAAAATTGTCAGGGTGGGG